CTCAGATCACTCACTCACTCACTCACTCACTCACTCACTCACTCACTCACTCACTCACTCACTCACTCACTCACTCACTCACTCACTCACTCACTCACTCACTCACTCACTCACTGGGTCAAGTTTCCCTCGGTTCCAATGACTGCTCTCCATCTCTTCCTATCCTTCATTTCTACCGTCAGGTTTTTCTTGTCGAGCTGGGTGTAGTCCATTAATTGGATTATTTTCTTGCTGGACGACCTCGACTTCTTTTTCCTTGACTGGGTTCCCATGGTAATAACTGGTTATGATTTTTCAAGATCACTTTCCTTTAATTCCCTTCATATCAAGAAGGTAAAGTGGCACTGTCATGTATTGTTGTTGTCCATTTTGAACTGTTGAGAGGTATGCTGTATTGATAGACACATAACAAGGCACATGTATCACTCTTAACCACAGGACTGCCAGCACAACACATACGGCCCTCAGTGTGACTACTGTATGCCTGGGTTTGAGGGCGATGCCAGGGGCGGCACTCCTGATGACTGCCGACAAGCGGCGCCCCCTTGTGAGTGCTACGGGCACTCCAGCCAGTGTGACTCCAGTGGTAACTGTGTGGTGAGCATGACTTTTATTTTATATCAACCTCTGCAGATTTGTAGTTGTAGCACTCCACCACGTTAACCAAGTGGTAAACAATGCACAGACTGTAGCCTGCCGTCTGTGTCCAGTCTATGGTGGTTGGGGCTTGGGGCTGCAGGAGCTCTTCCCCACCCGACCCAGCTTGGTTGCCTGGTAGGTTTGAATAACGGTAGTTAAATTATTGTGGAGCAAATCAACTCCCAGCATGCAAAATCACAGGCATAACACTCCTACCGGGCGGTCTGTTGAGCTAGACGGGGGGGGGGGAACTATCAGAGCCCCAAACACAACCTGCCCCAACCACAACATCAGGCTACACAGACAGATGTGATAACAAAGTAAAAGACATATGCAGTGGCAACATGTGCATTGCATAACTGTTTGGAAATGTCTCCAAAGTTCATTTGTTCTTACAATTATGAGTTGTGATATTGGGTTATTAATGCCTGCTTGTCATACAACAGCCTTGATTGGAGTATCTACAAGGGTCCTACCATATCCAAATGCATGCAGAGTATTTTTTAAGTGTTCTGGTCAAGGCCAGATATCTAGTTGGTAATAGAAGTGTTCACTGGAGCGAATAGCACCCCCTTGTGAGTGCCATTGGCACTACAGCTATGTCGAGCATCTTCGGGTTGAGTTATTCTTGACACAAACTGCATAGCATGCATCTTACTAGGTCTTAATCACACAGGTGAAGTGTGTTATATCCGATATCTATTAATCTAAAAGCAGTATTAAGCATTCCAACAACTACACTGAAGAATTATTTTATTTTATCAATTCATCAGAACTCACCAGCCCATGCTTCCTGTGGCCCAGGAGTTTTGTATTGTTTGTAATTTCAATAAATCAAATCAGAACATCACTAGGACATTTTGGCTTTAAGACATGGCCCCAATCTGGGAATATAATCATTCTTTATCTAACTGCAGGACTGCCAGCACAACACATACGGTCCCCAGTGTGAGTACTGTATGCCTGGGTTTGAAGGCGATGCGCGTAGAGGCTCAGCAGATGACTGCCAGCAAGCAGCACCCCCTTGTGAGTGCTACGGGCACTCCAGCCAGTGTGACTCCAGTGGTAACTGTGTGGTGAGCATTGTTGTTACATACCTCTCGGGAGCCTCTGCCCTGTGAAGTCTTCAGACACTTTTCATGTTTTGTTCCATAGCCTAATAATGTATCAAGTGTCTGTGTACTAACTTATGCACCTGTGAAAGCAACCACTTTGTTAGAATGTTCAACTCAGGCATCACTTGTTTGTCTGGTGGTAACATGGAGACTTTGTCCATTGATTGCTTGTTTATGAACGATTATGTGTGTAATCCTAGGACTGCCAGCACAACACATACGGTCCCCAGTGTGAGTACTGTATGCCAGGGTTCGAAGGCGATGCGCGTATAGGCACAGCTAGCGACTGTCAGCAAGCAGCTCCCCCTTGTGAGTGCTACGGGCACTCCAGCCAGTGTGACTCCTTTGGTGACTGTGTGGTGAGCACTCACATATTTTCATACATTTGTACAGAAGCATGCACTGTGTCCTTACTAAGTGTCTGATTGTCTCCTGTGGTAATCTTATAACTTAGTCCATCTGTACATGTGTGTCTTTTGTTGACAAAAGCAATCATTTGCAATAACAGGACTGCCAGCACAACACATACGGTCCCCAGTGTGAGTACTGTATGCCTGGGTTTGACGGCGATGCTCGTAGAGGTACAGCTGATGACTGCCAGCAAGCGGCGCCTCCTTGTGAGTGCTATGGGCACTCCAGCCAGTGTGACTCCAGTGGTAACTGCGTGGTGAGCGCTCTTGCTTTTAGATATCGTTCCGGCCTGTATCTGGTCTTCTGGTACATTTCTGTTTTGTCCTGTATTCTGTTGTGTTAATTCAGTGTGTACTAATTAATGCATGTGTAGCAGTATGTCTACTGTTTGGTCCATCTCTGTATTTCAAAGGCCTAATAGATGTATTTAATCACAGGACTGCCAGCACAACACCTATGGCTCACAGTGTGAGTACTGTATGCCTGGGTTTGAAGGCGATGCGCGTATAGGAACGGCTGATGATTGTCAGCAAGCAGCGCCACCTTGTGAGTGCTACGGGCACTCCAGCCAGTGTGACTCTTATGGTGACTGTCTGGTGAGCATTGTTGTTACATTCATGTTGTTACATTTGTTTTTACGTAACTTTGTTTCTAGTAGTGCATTTGTACTGCATTTTGTCTTCTTACACATTTATAACCACAACCAGTTGCTTCTGTACTGCTGTAACAAAGTACTGTGTACTAATGCACCTGTAGCAAGCACTTATAATGTTTAACACACAAATGCTCTCAACTGTAGGACTGCCAACACAACACATACGGTCCCCAGTGTGAGTACTGTATGCCTGGGTTTGAAGGCGATGCGCGTAGAGGCACAGCTAGCGACTGCCAGCAAGCGGCGCCCCCTTGTGAGTGCTACGGGCACTCCAGCCAGTGTGACTCATTTGGTGACTGTGTGGTAAGCATTCATGCTGTTATGTTTTCCCTCGCAGAAGGAAAACATTGTCTCTGTTTTGTCTTCCTCTTCTTCTCCTGTTCCAAACAAATAAAGTCAATGACCTGGACCAGATGGCTATCACTATGGTAACTGGAGGGGTATCAAACACCCTGCGGTGTTGGATTACATTATGAGGCAAGTGGCAGGACTGAGGTGCAAGGGCTGGTCTCCAAATTTGTGTGTTTGAGTAACAGTGAGCACAGCTGCAGTAGTTTGTTAGGCTAGACCAAGTGAAGGTAAACATTATGCATTTTGCTCTGCAACTGTTTTCTATGTATATGTGTTTCTGCAGTGTGTTTTGCCTAAAACCATACTGCTTTGCTTTATGTTGTGCTGCTGTATGTAATAACATAGCTGTGTACTATAATGAACCTGTAGTAGTAAGCACCATGTTTAACACACAAAATGCTTTTAATTGTAGGACTGCCAGCACAACACATACGGTCCCCAGTGTGAGTACTGTATGCCTGGGTTTGAAGGCGATGCGCGTAGAGGCTCTGCAGATGACTGCCAGCAAGCGGCGCCCCCTTGTGAGTGCTACGGGCACTCCAGTCAGTGTGACTCCAGTGGTAACTGTGTGGTGAGCATTGTTTTCATGTACTGTCTTGTTCTGTAGTCTGTATTGCATCACTCTGTACATTGTAGCCAGTGTAACACCTGTGGTAACTGTGTAGTGAGCATTCATGTTGTTTCTGTACTGCATTTTACCTTCTAACACCTTACTGCTTTGCTCTGTGTTGTACTGCAGCTGTAACTTGTTAATAACTGTGTACTGATGCACCTGCTGTAGTTGCTGGCTCTATGTTTGACGCAAACGCTTTTAACCATAGGACTGCCAGCACAACACCTATGGCTCACAGTGTGAGTACTGTATGCCTGGGTTTGAAGGCGATGCGCGTAGAGGCTCTGCAGATGACTGTCAGCAAGCGGCTCCACCTTGTGAGTGCTACGGGCACTCCAGTCAGTGTGACTCTTATGGTGACTGTCTGGTGAGCATTGTTGTTGTTACATTCATGTTGTTTGTTTCTGTAATGTTAGTGCGTTAAGTTTTTTCTACACCATACTCATCACCACCAGTCCGGTCCAGTCCATGAGCGCTGGTCAGCAGACAGCGCAGCAACGTTGTCAGGGCTCAGGTCACCTTTCCTTGTTTCCCAGCAGGTTCTGGAATTGGATGTAGATCAGGCAGCTTGTCCTCTGATGACCCAAACGCCTCAATATGCCGTGAAGTGGAACATAAGTGTGTAAGACCTGAGGGGCTCCTCTACGGGCATCCTGAGGGCATGTCCAATAAAGCGCAATTGCTGCAGTCTGATGAGAGGCTGTGTATTTGTGGCCATGTATCACAACCCACTGATGATTTGCCCCTGTACTGCAGTATCAACATAATATTATCTGCGTAGTACGCTATATATAATGCACCTGAAGTAGCAAGCACTATGTTTAACACACAAAATAATACCTTGTAATTGTAGGATTGCCAGCACAACACCTACGGTCCCCAGTGTGAGTACTGTATGCCTGGGTTTGAAGGCGATGCGCGTAGAGGCTCTGCAGATGATTGCCAGCAAGCGGCGCCCCCTTGTGAGTGCTATGGGCACTCCAGCCAGTGTGACTCCAGTGGTAACTGTGTGGTGAGCATTGTTTTCGCGTACCTGTCTTGTTCTATATACTAGCCTAATACTCTATTACGTCACTATGTAGCCAATGTGACTCCAGTGGTAATTGTGTGGTAAGCGCTCCTGTTGTTTCTGCACTTTGCCTTCTGACACCACCTTACTGCTTTGCTCTATGTTGTACTGCTGTAGCTTGTTATTAACATAATTGTGTACTAAATGCATCAGTAGTAGCTGGCACTGTTGCTTCATACTTAAAAATGCTTTTAACCGTAGGACTGCCAGCACAACACCTATGGCTCACAGTGTGAGTACTGTATGCCTGGGTTTGAAGGCGATGCGCGTAGAGGCTCTGCAGATGACTGCCAGCAAGCGGCGCCCCCTTGTGAGTGCTACGGGCACTCCAGTCAGTGTGACTCCAGTGGTAACTGTGTGGTGAGCATTGTTTTCACGTATCTGTCTTGTTCTATATACTAGCCTAATACTCTATTACGTCACTATGTAGCCAATGTGACTCCAGTAGTAACTGTGTAGTGAGCATTCATGTTGTTTCTGCACTGCATTTTACCTTCCGACACCTTACTGCTTTGCTCTATGTTGTACTGCTGAAGCTTGTTATTAACATAATTGTGTACTAAATGCATCAGTAGTAGCTGGCATTGTTGCTTCATACTTAAAAATGCTTTTAATCGTAGGACTGCCAGCACAACACCTATGGCTCACAGTGTGAGTACTGTATGCCTGGGTTTGAAGGCGATGCGCGTAGAGGCTCTGCAGATGATTGCCAGCAAGCGGCTCCCCCTTGTGAGTGCTACGGGCACTCCAGCCAGTGTGACTCCTATGGTGACTGTTTGGTGAGCGCTCTTCTGGCTTCCTGTATCGTAATTTGTGTTTAGGCACCTTACTGTTTTGTTGTGTGTTGCATAACCGTATATTGTATATTGCATAACCATCTTGTATGATGCATACTATGTTGAATGTTTCATAACTACATTTGAATCATTGTCTTGTGGTAGACTGCAGCTTTGTGTACTATTTGTTGACAAACAAATTCTTAACTCCAGGACTGCCAACACAACACATACGGTCCCCAGTGTGAGTACTGTATGCCTGGGTTTGAAGGCGATGCGCGTAGAGGCTCTGCAGATGATTGCCAGCAAGCGGCGCCCCCTTGTGAGTGCTACGGGCACTCCAGTCAGTGTGACTCCAGTGGTAATTGTGTGGTGAGCGCTCTTGTGGCTTCCTACATTTCTGCATTGTAATTTGTGTTTTGACACCTTGATCAGTGTTTTGTTGTATGACGTTGCATAACTATATGTTATATGTTGCATATGTACTATGTTGTATGTTACATAACTATGTTGTATGTTGCATAACTATATTGAATGTTGCATAGCTTGGTTTAAATCATTATCTTGTCTTGTGGTAGACGCTAGCTTTGTCCACATATAAACTGCTTTGTTGACAAATTTAACGCATTCTTAATCGTAGGACTGCCAACACAACACATACGGTCCCCAGTGTGAGTACTGTATGCCTGGGTTTGAAGGCGATGCGCGTAGAGGCTCTGCAGATGACTGCCAGCAAGCGGCGCCCCCTTGTGAGTGCTACGGGCACTCCAGCCAGTGTGACTCCAGTGGTAACTGTGTGGTGAGCATTTATGAACAATGTGTTTGAACCATTATGTGTCATGCATGTACAAAATGTTAGTATTGTTGTTTGTTGTGTCTCATTGTGTTGCAGTTCCGAGAGCAAGACAATGTGTGTCTTTGTCTTTTGCCTAGGCTTTTAATCAAGGGTTAGTTTGCTGGCAAAACTAAAGGCACATCCTTTCAAATGCAGGATTGCCAGCACAACACGTATGGTCCCCAGTGTGAGTACTGTATGCCAGGGTTTGACGGCGATGCACGTAGAGGAACGGCTAGCGATTGTCAGCAAGCCCAACCAGCCTGCAGCTGTCATGGCCACTCTAGCCAGTGTGATGCCAGTGGCAACTGTGTGGTGAGACCTTGATTCTCTTGCTCGTGGCAAGTGATTTTTGCAAAATCTTGATGAATCTTACTTTTCATTGATGAGGGATGAAAGTATTGTTCATGGACTGGACATGCAAAATATTTGCTGTTGCCAATGGTCCAAAGTGTTATAATCTATCCTGCTCATATGCAAAAAAATACTGCTAGGATAGCAAATGCTTGGCAGCCCCTAGTGGGCCGAACTGTGTCCCCAAGATCCCTCCTTCATCTCCACCAATCTCTCCAGTATCCTGACTCCTCTCATTGGTCAGTCTTCTCCCTGTGAGATCCTGAGGACCAGATTCTGCTCAGCAGCAGACTCCAGTTGTCTGAACTGTGTCCCCGGGCCATTGGTTCCTCTTCCATATCTCATGAATATCTCCAGTGTCTTTATTCCCCCTTCCGTTGGCCAGTGTTACCTCCACATACAGACTCTCCGCACATGCATGCCATGTCCAGGTATCATCCCTCTCTTATGTCCCTGAATCTCTCCAGTGTCCCATTTCCCTATCATTGTTTCTGTGACATCCAGATGATCAGATCCCAATGCACATGCATGTCACATCCAGGTACTTGTATCATGCCTAAATCAGGCCCAGGGCTTGCCTAAACATTGAATCCCTCTTCCATCTCTCATGAATCTCTCCAGTGTCCCACTTCCTCTCTCATTGCCCACTGTCGCCTCCACATCCAGATTCAGACACATGCCATTGTCCAGGTACTGTATCATGCCTGAACCAAGAGTGTTTCCCACATCCAGGACTTGCCTATACGTGGACAACCCTTCTTCCACATCCCTGAACCTCTCCCAATTTCTTTCTAATTGGTCAATCATGTCTCTGTGACATATAGATGATCAGATCCCATGTGCACGCATTTCAAGAGCCTTTCCCACCATGCCCTAAGGACCTGCCTTCATGTTGAAATCCCTCTTCCCTGGCTGGATCTGTCCCTTATTCCAAGGAACCCACCCCAGAGCATCCCCTACCCTCCTCCTGCCTACATCACTTTTCCCACAGACGTTCAACCTATCCTAGCCCCAAGATTTCCCTGCCTGATCATGACCCAGTCATCCAGTGTCCCTATTCCTCTTGCATTGGTCAATCATGTATCCACATCACATCACTGACCAGATCATGTCCAAGTATCATGCCTGAATCAAGAGCCATGCCCAGGACCTGCCCATGGTGGAAATCCCTCTTCCCTGCTAGATCTATCCTTAGTACCAAGGAACCCACCCCAGAGCATCCCCTACCCTCCTCCTGCCTATATCGCTTTTCCCCACAGACATTCAACCTATCCTAGCCCCAAGATTTCCCTGCCTGATCATGGCCAAGTGATCCCCTTTCACCCTGCTGTTAAGACGTCTAGCTGGTTACGCAAACCAATGAAAAGTAAAGAAAGAAATTGAAGATAAACTCACTGCTCAAAATGACCCCTACAGAACTGCCAGCACAACACGTACGGTCCGCAGTGCGAGTACTGCCTGCCTGGGTTCTCTGGTGATGCCAGGCGAGGGACGTCCAGCGACTGCGTTCAGCAGCAGACGCAGCCAGCCTGCGAGTGCCACGGACACGCCGATGAGTGCGACAGCAGTGGAAACTGCGTGGTGAGACCTAAAAACACCATGGTCCATCATGTCTCTCCTCATCATAAACATCCCCGAGCCATCTCCTCCCTGTTAAGGATACTAGTATCCCATTGTCATGAAAGTTCATCTGTGTTGGTACCGGTAGTAATCATAGTAAAATGTTGAACTTTATTACAACACAACAGGTACACAGAGATCAAATGTTCAATGACCACTGTCACCTTCATCAAAATAATTTATGACCAATCACTTCCGAACATAATCTTGCGTGAGTTACGGTACCGACACATGGCCTAGGATATTACATGTTTACATGTACCCTAATGAAGGTAATACATGTGACATCTGCAAAGCTGCTACAGTGGCAAAGCCATCCTCAGGATTATCATTCATGTTAGCCAAAGAAGTCAGAGAAAATCTGAGAAGTACTGTTACCAGTATGTGTGAACATGATGTTTATTGAGTGATAAGATAGTAAGCAAAGAAAACTTCAACTCAATCTTGTTGTCTTACCAGAACTGGTCTGACCTATTGTCACATTGGTATTCCAGTTATAGTCATCATAGGTATTGGCAATGTGTAAAGGTACATCCTTTCAAATGCAGGACTGCCAGCACAACACATACGGCCCCCAGTGTGAGTACTGTATGCCTGGGTTTGACGGAGATGCCACTGGTGGAACAGCCCAAGACTGCCAAGCTGCCCAGCCGTCTTGCGAGTGCCACGGTCACTCCAGCCAGTGTGACAGCAGTGGCAACTGTCTGGTGAGCCCGTCGATGATCCCAACATCGTCAGCAAACTCAGTCTGACCTGGATTAGAAGAAGATTTCCTGCGCATCATCCAGCTGCTGTTACTTTTTTTTCATTGCAGCTTTTTACCCCAACCCGCTGTTCACACTATGCATAGATGAAGATGTTGTTGGTACATGAAAAAGTACCAGGAAAGCACCATGCACTGCACTGCTTTAAGCATACCCTGAGCTGCCTTCCCTTTACCATCCCAGCCAGTAATGTGCACCACTTTCCTGCACCCAATGCACATGCTGTGTTTTGTTGCTTATTTGCTTCATCACATTATTTTGCACTTTGCACCATGTCCTGCCCTGCCTTGGCTTATGGCCTCTCTTTGTAGTTGAGTATTTCTATCTTCTTCCTTAAAAATATCACTTTGTGCTGGCCCTAACAGGCTGACCTGTCTTCCTCAAGAAGGTAAATGATTTTGCTAAAGCTCCACCAATGCCCCAACCAGCTTCATCTGAAACTTGCTGCTGAGCATCAGTGCAGAATGCTGTCACCTGCCACTAACACTTAAAAAATTAGGGTAGCAATTCATATTGCTGTTCAAGACAGTTTTACCTGGATATCCTCAAGCTTCTATTTGGAGCCATTGCTGATCAAGACAGTTATATTCTGATGTCAATCTGGCCTTTGGTCAAGTATTTGGAATCAACAAAGCAACCGCACGCGATAGATATCAGATTGCAAAGCCACAATGCACAAATATATAAAAAGTTGATAAAAAACAGCTGGATATTCTAATTTATTACCACGTTAAAGCTTATTTCCCAACACCCCTCCCCCCAGTGTAGTAAACCATGACATAAACCCCAGGCTTTATCTCCAGGACTGCCAGCACAACACCTATGGGCCTCGGTGTGAGTACTGCCTGCCGGGTTTTACCGGGGAGGCCCGCAGAGGAACCGCCGAGGACTGTCGCCGAGAACAGCCGTCGTGCGACTGCCACGGACACTCCAGCCAGTGCAACAGTGATGGAACCTGTGTGGTGAGGAAAACACAGATTCAGCTTTCAACATTGCCATGCCAGTCATCTCCATGCTGGATCTAACCCCAACTTTGAATGCACGGTTGTTCAAACCTTCATACCACATTCTCACTGACACAATACGGTGATGGGACCTGTGTGCACCATGGTGAGGAAAACACCTTTACACCTTGAAGTCATTCCCCTCCATGCTCGATTTAACCCCAACTTTGAATGCGCCCCCATTTCCCAAGAGTTCGAGTCTTGATGGCAGCCCACCATTTGTCACTATCCTGTGGATTTATGCTGTATTCACCCAGACTCCATCTACAACAGCTTCCTTCCTGACAGTACCTCAACTTTGGAACACCCCACTTCAAACTGAAGATAAATATAATTAATGGATGCCATCAGGACATCATGCCATCAGAAGACACCAGTTTAAAACTCATTCTTAGCAAGATATGAGTCAACTTCATCCACACCATCTCATCTTCAATGCAGCAGTGTGCATTTTTCATCATCCATCTCAACACTGCTCTGGAATCTTTTCATCTTACAAGAGCACAAAGCTAACCTGCTGAAGATACAATTGTCATTATATCACTTAATACAATCACGTTTGATCCCTATTATGGTGCCTGCACCGGGTGCAGTCATTGCAGCCATGTCATACATTTTGTACTAACCCCCATGAACCATCTCTCCATCCTCAGATGCAGACAGTAGTAGTAGTAGTAGTGTGTCCAGCCTTCAATTATACTTCAGGGGTCCCTGACACGGGTGGGCAGCAGTCGGCTTGTCTTCAAGTGGCTCTGTCCAGTGGGTCCACACTGGTAATGCTGCACTCTCTGACAACATTAGACACCAGGTCATTTAACAATGATAAGTCTGACAGGGCTAACAGAGTTATGTTTTTACTTACAGGACTGCCAGCACAACACATACGGTCCCCAGTGTGAGTACTGCCTGCCAGGGTTTGACGGCGATGCGCGTAGAGGCACTGCTGAAGACTGCCAGCGAGCCCAGCCCGCATGCAACTGTTATGGACACTCTGACCAGTGTGATTCCAGTGGCAACTGTGTGGTGAGACCTTTGTATTACTATGTTTTCCTTTGCAGTAGTTGTTTTTGCTCTGTTTCTTCTCTTATCCTTCTCCAAACAAATACTGGTAAGGTCAATGACCTGGACCAGTAATTGGTGCTGTAGCAGACAATCTGTGGTGTCTGATTACATTATGTAGCAAGTGGCAGGACAGTTGGAGGTGCTCGTCACCCCTTGTAATGTGTTTGAGTAAGAAAAATGTGTTTGAGTAAGAATAAACAGCAGTAGTTTGTTAGGCTAGACCATGTGAAGGTAAACATTATGCATTTGCTTTGCAAACGTTACATTTCAAGTTGGTTTCTAGTAGTGAGTAAAGAGAGCTTTGTTTAAAAGGAAATTTGCCTGGCAATTACAAGACACTTTTTTTCTAATGCAGGACTGCCAGCACAACACATATGGCCAACAGTGTGAGTACTGTATGCCTGGATTCGAGGGTGATGCGCGCAGAGGCTCTGTACTTGACTGTCAACGGGCCCAGCCCTCATGTAACTGTTATGGACACTCCAACCAATGTGACTCTAGTGGAAACTGTGTGGTAAGGTTGAAGTTGCTTGAATTCAACATTCATAGTCTGTTTGGTAATAGTCTTTCTGGAAAGCTTTGATTGCAGTGAAAAGTTCATGATGCTTTGTTCAAGCTCTAGACTAACAAAATTAGTTTCAATCAACTGGCAAAACAAGAATGAAGGTACATGTACAAATTATTTATTTTATCTTATCAGATTAGCTGTACAAAAGACAGCCAGGGTTACTCATGTAGTTACAAGACTATTTTAAAGGGCCAACCCTTAGGACAAGGACAACAAGCTACAAAATAGATAAGGACAGGACATTAAAATTAAAGTCGTCAACTCATTACATCTACAGGATTATCTGTACCTGTGATTACTTCAGCAAGATCTGCTGGTTCATGAATAATTTTTTCAACCTTAAGTCTCATCGTAAAACAATTAAAGCAAGTAACAGCAGGATTATCTACACATAAATACCTACCTATCTACTTAGTCCCATGACCGACACTGGTCGTCGGGGGGGACAAGGCAGACTTTGCAGCAGAGGTGTAGCCAGGTCTTCCTGTCTTGGGCTACATAAATACAGAAAGGCTTAAACTAAGGAGCACTGGTAAAAATACTATGTACTACTTGTCTACAATCCCAGGACTGCCAGCACAACACATATGGCTCCCAGTGTGAGTACTGTATGCCTGGGTTCTCTGGTGATGCTCGTGGAGGGACCCCCACCGACTGTCAGCAGGCCCAGCCAGCATGTAACTGTTATGGCCACTCTGAGCAGTGTGATACGTATGGCAACTGTGTGGTAAGTGGGCATAACTACTCCAGCAAACAACTTCATGAAAACTGTGTACAGATGTACAAAATGTAGATTTGTTCTTCGTATGTTATAAAAAGGAATGGTAGGTCTGTAGCGTTTTTCAGGCGGTAGGGGCAGTGGGTTGTTAATCCAGTATGTCTAGGGCACGGTATTAGGAGGCAGAGCCCCTCCCTCTCCTTCCACTGCCTCTTGTCTGAAGTCAGGTACGAATTTCACACCTGGATGAAGTGAGGAAAGTCGTGTGAGTTGCTTTTCACGGAACATATCATGTGAAGCATCAATTTCTTCCAACACGAAAGCTGCTGGCTAAAGTTGTATAATTGTACTGCACAAGTAAGTAGCACATATTAATTCATGCCTTGAAATGTTTGCATGTAGAACTGCCAGCACAACACGTACGGTCGGCAGTGTGAGCTGTGCCTGCCCGGGTTCTCTGGAGACGGACGGGGGGGCACTGAGAATGACTGTCGTCGGGACCAACCGGCCTGTAACTGCCACGGCCACTCCAACCAGTGTGATGCCAGCGGTAACTGTGCGGTGAGGAAAAAGATCTTATGATAAGAATCAAAAGAGCAGAATTTGGACTGAGATGTTTAACAAAAACTTAAGCAAGACCTGTTAGAACAATCGTGATAGCTTTTTGCAACCTGTTTTTTCATTAAAAAGTTGAAGGTAGAAGCATACATTTGTATGTATCATTCTCGGGCTAAACCTTCTTAATGGTTAAATTGCCTAATGTGCAGTGCACATAATTTCCCGGGGGTCCATTCAGTTTAGCTGATTGCTGATTGTTGCTTTCCATATATTTTAGTAGTTCAATCTTACACTGTATAGTTGTAAATCCTGGTTTATATCATATCTATCATTAGGACTGCCAACACAACACGTACGGTCCCCAGTGCGAGTACTGTATGCCAGGGTTTGCTGGAGATGCCCGTAGGGGAACAGCTAACGACTGTGTTCAGAACACACCCGAACCTGTCTGCAACTGCCACAACCACGCCAGCCAGTGTGACAGTGCAGGCAACTGTGTGGTAAGTCCTCATTTGTGTATTCAAAGCTTCATGAATTCACCATTGACAGTGACCCAACTTGCATACGGTCAGGCAAAAATTTGATGGTACAAAACCCCTTCCCCTGCAACCCCTACAGTACGAAAGAGTACATCAAATATTTTTCTGAGCGTGAATTGGCCTGCTTTGATGTACATTACGAAGTTACATCCTGATTATACATTATATTACCTCGATAGGCGTAGCATATTATCTTAACGTACCTCGGTGAAGGTAAGACATTCAGGTAATAATTATACACCAAAAACAGTTACTCAAGCAACTGTTTTTTGGTGGATCTGTCAAAGCAGGCAGGACATACAGGAAAATTTTATGTATGCAGTTTTCGTACGCTTAAATGGGTACGCAGTATTTGTACATCAGGTTTTTGCCAACAATGTGTGACTGACAGGTCTGGTCAATCTATTACGTACTATTGGCGGTAACGCCATATCTTCCTTGCGAGACACTGCGTGAACAGAGATTCTAATAATGCAGTAAAGTTGCTACCCCCTGCAGGGATGCCAGCACCACACGTACGGTGCCCGGTGTGAGTACTGTATGGCCGGCTATGTCGGCGACGCCACGGGCGGAACCCAGTACGACTGCCAGGAGGAGCAGCCGGCTTGCGAATGCCACGGACACTCCATCCAGTGTGAGCAGGATGGGACCTGCTTGGTGAGACGTCACCGGTTACAGAAAGCAACCCACCTCCCCCCACAACCCCCTGTTGTGCTCTACAACTCGCGATTTGTTGTCATCGTTGTCCAGAGTTGTTTTTCCTCTGTTTCCCCAAGTCTTGCCCAGCCTTTTTCACCACAAATTGATTGGAATAGACTCCTGCATTCTTCGAGTCTAGTGGTTACAGAAAGCAACCCCCCCTTCCCCACAACCCCCTGTTGTGGTCTACAACTTGCGATTTGTTGTCATCGTTGTCCAGTTGTTTATCCTCTGTATACCCAAGCACAGCCTTTAATTCCCAACACAAGTCGATTGGAATGGACTCCTGCTTACATATACCTTTAGTGAAGTGGTTACAGAAAGCAAACCCCCTTCCCTGCAACCCCATTGTGCTCTACAACTGGCAATTTGTTGTCCTTGTTGTCCAGGACTTTGTATTGTTCTTTCATTTCTCCAAGTCTTACCTACTAGTAGCCTTTTCCACTAGGAGTCAATTGGAATGGACTCCTGCACACTTAGAGTCTAGTGGTTACCGAAAGCAACCCCCCCCCCCTTCCCTGCAACCCCCAGCTGTGGTCTACAACTCACAATTTGTTGTCCTTGTTGTCCAGGACTTTGTATTGTACTCTCGTTTTGCCAAGACTTAGTCTTACCCAGGCTTTTCCACTACAAGTCTATTGGAATGGGTTATCAATGCTTCTTTTAGACCTCCAGGTCTGGGGATTAAATAAAATCCAGGCTACCCATCAGCTACATGTACATGTACCTGCACCCTGTCTGTGGCAATTCTTCTTTTAGATAATTGTTGTTGATTTGATAAATATCCTTTTTGTTTTCTCCCCCTTTTCCCCAAGCCTTGCTCCCCAGCCTTCGCTATGAATCAACTGAAATGGATTCCTGTGTACACTTTTAGATTAGTTTTATATTAGTGTCTAACAATTCTTCTTGTAGACCACCAGGTTTTGGGATTGAAACCAAGCCTTACCATTTTGTACCTGTAAGCTCCTGCACCCCGTCTTTGCTGCAGCCCCGGTTCCCCAAAGCAAGATACCCTGTTGCTTTTTGAGTTTGCTTTGCCCCTCTGTCGTCATGTGTTTACTGTTCTCCTACAAAGGAGAGTGTACCGTGTTGTCTACTCGGAAAGTTGGATGTTACAGCAGCTTCTAATGTGGTTAATAATCTTTGCTTAGTACATGTACAATGTACAAGTAGACCATCCTCATTTTTTTACCTTGTAGGAACAACTGGTGTAAAATTCGTTTGTACACTTGTCTACATTTTGTCTTTGTAACTGTAACTCATTGCTGGAAAAATCCTGGAAGTCAGCAACCTATGGATGCAAAGTGTCTTGGGAGTAAGAAGTATAATTTGATCAAGGGTCAAGAACCTTAACAGACTTTTATATAAGCATAGCCTGGCTCAACAGAATTAGCAGCTATCAGTTCAGCTGGATTATACTGGGATCTTCCCTTACCCCTCCTTTTTCTTACCCTGCATTCCCCTCCCCCCTTCTCCAATCGTAAGCACCTTTACCAGCTGTCTATCTTTCATTAGGACTGCCAACACAACACGTACGGCCCCCAGTGCGAGTACTGTATGCCTGGGTTTGCTGGAGACGCCCGTAGGGGAACAGCTAACGACTGTGTTCAGAACACACCCGAACCCGTCTGCAACTGCCACAACCACGCCAGCCGGTGTGACAGTGCTGGCAACTGTGTGGTGAGCACTGCTAGCTTTCCGGGTGTGAAACAAATGTGTTCAAACCCAAAGGCACTTAGCCTGGGTACCATCCTACTTGTATGCCGGGGCTCCCACACTCGCTTCCCTAAAGAAATACTTCTTAGGGAAGCGAGTGTGGGAGCCCCGGCATACAAGTAGGATGGTACCCAGGCTAAAAGGCACTGGCCCTTTGATTTGAAAGAAATTGGTTTTGGCCATGTACTTGATATGTCATCTTTCTCTTTCTTTATGTCCGCTGAAAGACGTTGCCAATGGTACAGACCTTGGCAAATTCCATCAGCATGTTTACACAAAATGTATAATTTTTTGTTACTTGGCAGACATTACAGAACACCTGTATCTGTATAGCAGGTATAACTGCCCTTCACAGTAAAACACCAGCTTCTGTATCAGTATCAGTGTCTGTATCTGTTTAGCTGTATTGCTATTGGTATAGCTATATAGCTACCAGGTAACACACTACCTAACTCTTCCTAAATGTCTAGGAAGAAACAAACAGATGAGAGAGAGATTAGGGGTTCAGCAGTGCTTTAATTTTGCAGGATTGTCAACACAACACGTACGGTGCGCGCTGCGAGTACTGCCAGGCCGGCTATGTCGGAGATGCTCGCAGGGGCACGGCCAGTGACTGCCAGCTGCCCCAGCCTAGATGCAACTGCTACGGACACTCCAATCAGTGCGATGGCAATGGAAGATGTGCGGTGAGACAGATACCTCACAGTGCTCACCCTTCTCATCATCGTTCCTCAACAAAAATGCTTTTCTTGATCCCTTCCCCATACCCTGATCTCTTCGTCTCATTCAGATTAACTCCATGTCCAGACCCCTCATCCCCTCCCCTCCCTTTCTGGAGTGCCTGCCTCTTTTTCCAGGTGTTGTTTCATTCTAGATCCTTTTCCAAGGTTTACATCTCCTTCCCCTACCCTAGCTTTTGCCCAGATCTTGTCTCCCTAAATGGATCCCATTCCCAGATCATGTCAAGACAGTGTTCCCATATCCAGATTCCATCCCCATGTCCTGTGTGTAGTTTCCTCCAGTCCTTCCGATGCCCAGAAACATTCCCTGGCCTGTTCCCAGATTCAATGTTTCAATCTTGCCCCCATCACTGGGTCCATCCCCACGTCCTATGTGTAGTCCCTTTTCCATGGTTAGATCTTTTTCCTACTCTCCTGATGCCTGGAAACATTCTCTAGCCTGTGCCCAGATCTTGTCCCCATCACTGGGTCCCTCTTCCATGTTAAATGATCTTGTCTCCATGTCAAGATAGTGTGACCACGTAATCCAGATTACATTCCCTTGTCCTACACATAGGTGTAATCCCTTTTCCATGGTGAGATGTTTTTCCTGTACTTGACTTCCAATGCCCGGAAACATTCCCTACCCTACATGTACAAATGTATGCCCAGATCTTGTCTCCCTCACCGGATCCCTTTCCCATGCTTAGATCTTGTCACGATGTCAAGAAGAAACATGTAGTATCCACATACATGTACTCAGTATCCAGATTCCATTCCCATATCCTACATGACTGTGTAATGCCTTTTCCATGGTGAAGTCTTCCCCCTACACTCAAGGTCCAGTTCCCATGTGTTGAACTCCTACCCTCTTTCATGCCCGGTGACCCTGTACAATCCCTCCCAAACAGACAATCCTCTGTGGTCCAGTTCTTCATCTCTTGAAAGAACTGCTGCCTGGTGATGGAGTTTTACAGTAACTGCTGTTACATTTGTACCAATCAGTACAAGAAGATTTAGCATGAAAGTTCATCTGTGTTGGTACAAGTCATTATGAAATAAAGACTAAGCTTTAACTTCCAACGGATTACGGAATTGGGACTTGCCCAAATTTTTGGTCACGTGTCTCTGACGTCACGTTCCAAGAGTATCCGTGAACAAGGTTGATGGGGTCAACCAAAAATTTGGGTAAGTCCCAATTCTGTAATCTAAGTGTTGGAAGTCAAAGCTTAGTCTTTATTTCATAAGTACAAGAAGATGATTGCTTATGTGTAATATCACAAGATCAAGTCTAAGAGATACTAGTACATTGATGAAGGTTAGACATCCAGGCTAACAGTACTCATAGGAAATGCAAACTCTACTACTGGATAAATTACAGTCTGAAATTGTCGTGAAATTTATCCAGTAGTTTGAGTTTCGTATGAGTTAAAGTCAAAGAGATAAATGCCTAAAAGTAAAAAAAAAATATTGTATGAAAATCTTGATAAAGTTCTAAGTGATGTAGAGAAAAATCATTGACAGAAAAGGCTATTTTGTACAAATCTGTGCTTGAATGACCCCTACAGAACTGCCAGCACAACACGTACGGTCCGCAGTGCGAGTACTGCCTGCCTGGGTTCTCTGGTGACGCCAGGCGAGGGACGTCCAGCGACTGCGTTCAGCAGCAGACGCAGCCGGCCTGCGAGTGCCACGGACACGCCGACGAGTGCGACAGCAGTGGAAACTGCCTGGTGAGACCTTAAAGCATCATGTTTGTAAACTGCTTGGTCAGACCTAAGCATCCTGTGTGTCTCCTGTCACTGTCACTCTTCCCAAGTCATTGGATAGGTTTTGAAAACTGTCAGATGTTTCATGTAACATCCACTACTTTTTGTCAGTGACTAAAATAAATGGAATCTGTAGTTGAACAGATATTTGTCCAGCACTATGAATTCACTTTCTTTCTTTATTGCACTATTTCAAATGTACATCAGCAGGGGGAGAATAACTACTACCCCCTGAATTGAGTACCATTTGTCACATGGACAACATGGACATCTAAATAGGGTATATACAAAGGCATATACAAAGTAATTAAAATATACACAATGATATGTAAATCGTCTGATATGTAGATCATCAGTTCATCATTTTTGGATAAATACCTGTCCAACTACAGATTCCGTTAGCCACTGATGAAAAGTAGTGGATGCTACTAGAAACATCTAACAGTTTTCAAAATCTATCCATCTGCTTGAATAACAATTTCCTCATGTATCTCATTAGGCCACACCAGGTAAATTTTATGGATGACGTCCTTTGGAGACCCTAAATCTTATGCGAGAGGGCGAAAAAAAAACAAGAAGGGCCCTAAAAAACAAGATGCCCAGATTAGAAATATACTAAGAGACGACAAATGTTAGGACACAAATTGAATGGGGTGACACAGTGTAACAAGCATCATCAAAACAGCAATAAATCAGGTGGAACAGTGGACAGTGAAAAATTTTCTGTTATTGACAGGATGGTCCTGTCAATAGTGCAAATTTTCTATTATTGACAGGATGGTCCTGTCAATAGACACTTTCTTCGCGTTACGGGTTTTACATCAATCTGACAATTTGTGGCACTGTCGTGACTCTTTGTTACGGGAAGCGAAATTTCTTTTTTTTTTTTTTTCTAGGAAGAGAAAACGCGCGGACGTCATCCATAAAATTTACTTGGTGTGGCCTTACCTTGATGTCTAACCGTCCTTTTTTTTCTTCCCACAGAACTGCGAACACAACACATATGGTCGCCAGTGCGAGTTCTGTTTGCCCGGATATTCCGGCGACGCAAAAGCCGGGACTGACACAGACTGTGTGCGCAACGTTCCCGAACCCATCTGCAACTGCCACGGCCACTCCAACCAGTGTGACGATGATGGCAACTGTATGGTGAGGCCAAGTCGTGGTTTGCTTTAAAGACCTACACACATCCTTCCTCATGATGGCTTTGTCTTTTCACAGTATTGTGTACCGTTATGTAGTATGAAGCTGAATTATTTCGTGTTTCATGCTATTCAGCTTTAGCAAAAAATAGCATTTTTTTTCAAAATTAATGACCAAGGAGCCAAAGGGACATATTAAATGATAATAACGATAGATGGAGAATGTATACAATAGTGAAGATATAAAGTTCTATGCTTAGATTTCTACATTTGTTTACTATTCACCTTTAAACTCTAGTATTACTACTGCTTTTAGCCTAGCCTGTGCTCTTGGTCGGAGGTTAATGAAAAATAGGGGGCGGCAACTTCGGGGCGGCTGGCCGCCAGGAGCGCGATTTGTCAGGCTACTTTTAGCCTATGTGGACAAGAAAATGCAACAAAGATCATTGACTAAAGAATACCTCTGATCCCCACAGAACTGCCAACACAACACGTACGGCCCCCAGTGTGAGTCCTGTCTGTCCGGCTACACCGGTGACGCCCGCGTGGGGACACCCGGGGACTGTGTACCAGAACAGACCGCCCCGGTGTGCAACTGTCACGGACACTCAGAACAGTGTGACAGCAGTGGCAACTGTGTGGTAAGGGATTACTGTATCCAGAACCATGTGTTAGGGTTAGGGTTAGGATCAGGCACAGTTCTGGATAATCTTTGCATATCCAAGGATGTAGATTTGCCCCGTGCACAGTTCTGGATATGTGTCAGCTATTCTAAACCGTTCTTGAGTATGGTTCTGGACAATGCACAGTCCTGGATACAACTGTGGGCTTGACCAGACAATTTAGATAACTTGGCTTTTTTTTTAGCTGTTGTTAGTCCTTTTTATCAGAATTTTTTTTCGTGCTGATATCTTTTTTTACACGTCTGCCAGCAGATCTTCAGGTGGCATGTTTTATACTGCCTGGCCAATTTGATACTGTCTTACTGTATCGTAGCCACCAAAAGATCTGCTTGGAGATTATCTTGTATGCTGTATCCTTCCCTAGGACTGCCAACACAACACCTATGGGCCTCAGTGTGAGTACTGCATGCCTGGGTTTACTGGTGACGGCAGAGGCAGTACCCCTCAGGACTGCCAGAGGGCGGCACCAACCTGCAGCTGCAATGGACACTCTGACCAGTGTGACGCCAGTGGAAACTGCCAGGTCAGTACTTTATTTATTTATTTATTTATGACGATTTACCACGTTTGTGGAAGGATTGACATAACAGGTGACTATCACCTCTTCAAAGATGTCAACCCCGAGACCAGACTGTAAGGTTTGAACCACTCACACCGGGAAGGTCCCCTACTCTTTTCGATAAGTGCGGTGGGTTCTTTAATGTGTGTGGGGTGTGGCTGTCCCAAACACGGGACCCCATTTAACGTCCTATCCGAGGGACGTCCCTCATTTACACCTGAGTGAAGTGAGGAAAGTCGTGTAAAGTGCCTTTTCCCAAGGGCACAAGATCAGTGACATGGGCAGGGTTCGAACCCGCAACCTCTCAGGTGTGAGTCGAACGCGCCACCGACTGCGCCACACGACCCCACGAGTACGTGGTCACCTCAGGGCTGCAGTAGTCACAGTAACAGGTAACGTGCCTGCTGTGTTTGGCTCTTGATTCAGTCAAAGGAACCAACTCCCAGACTCTATTGTGGGCAACATCAACAACAACGGACTGCAGTCCTTCAAAGTCAGAGTCCATCGACACCTCCTTCATAGCAATTGAGAACTTGGCAGCTGTGAGCCACTGATTGCCCACTGATTGAGCCATTGTACAATCAGTGGGTATTGCTCACTACAGCACATTAGGCCACACCAAGTAAATTTTATGGATGACGTCCTTTGGAGACCCTAAATCTAATGCGAGAGGGCGAAAAAAAACAAGAAGGGCCCTAAAAACAAGATGCCTAGATAAGAAATATACTAAGAGACGACAAATGTTAGGACACAAATTGAATGAGGTGACACAGTGTAACAAGCAAGAAGTATTTTATTCATCATCAAAACAGCAATAAATCAGGTGGAGATAGATGGAGCGGTCAGCAAGTTTCTTCAAATGTGGCAGCATGTACCAAACTGAATTCCTAATGGAAGTCATGATTTCCTTGCTTGATGCTTTGGTCCGTACAAACCTATTTGCGGCACTGTCGTGACTCTTTGGTCATAGTTACAGGAAGCGGAATTTCTTGTTTTTTTTTCTAGGAACAGGCCAAAATCAATGCGCGCGCGGACGTCATCCATAAAATCTACTTGGTGTGGCCTTATTAAAAAAAGGAGGGATAAGAGATTTGAACACAATGATCTCTCTTTGGGAAAATTTGGGGTAAAATCAGACAACGTTTTCCATTTCCCGTTGTTACATGCAAAAGCTTCATATTATAAGGATGTTGCACTGTAGCCTGGAGTCCAGCCTTGTGAGCTTTAGTCCGCTCCCCAAGATCTGCTGCTAAGGCTGGACTGCAGGGTACGATGTAGTTGCATTGATACCTAACATTACATTTCTTTGCTTAATCTGTCACAGAATTGCCAACACAACACATACGGTCCCCAGTGTGAGTACTGTAGGCCTGGGTTTGAGGGTGACGCTCGACGAGGGACACCAAATGACTGTCAGCAGGCCCAGCCAGCATGTAACTGTAACAGCCACTCCGACCAGTGTGACGCCAGTGGTAACTGTGTGGTGAGTATTCCTGGTTTATTAACATGTATATGAGACGAAAAGCAATACACGTGTAGCTTACGGTCCTCTTCCCTCAGTAGTTGTCAGTTCAGCATGTTGGCAAAATATACTGCTCCTTAATGAAGCAAGTATTGTGCATAGCAGTCACACTCACTCACTCACTGTCCGGTTTATCGTCTGGTCTTCTGAGGGTTAGACGTGCTTGCACAATACCTCTGGGGCAACACATCTTGTTTATTTTTTTTTTTGTATTTGCATATTCAAGGATGACATCCTGTCAATAGTTTATAAATGTTGTGTTGGAAAAGGGAAAAAATATTCTGCAATGAGCAAAAATGTTAACTTTCTGACGAGCCTGTTCTGACGCAACGTTGACCAAACATCCAACGAAAACCATGAAAAATTGTACAGGCGCAGTACGTTCTCCTGACATGCTGGTCAGCCCCAACTTGTATTGTCATCCAGGGACTATGATGTGAATGAAAATCTATGTAAATTCGTTCATGCATATTTCAGAAAGAAATCTTCTAGATTTAGACGTAACACAGTTACGTAGCACTTGACATGTTCTCTCTACCCTTGTGCCTCAATTATCAGGCATTTGGCCCATGTGGAGCGTGAATATGCATTAAAGTTCATTGTCATTGTTGTTACTGTCTTATTTTCATTGCTTATCCCAACTATTTTTTTTTTCATTCCAACATGTAATCACCAGACGTGGTGACGACACACTCAAGTTTTTTCAACTTATATTAATGCCGCCACCAACACAGGGGACAAATACATGACAGGACAATACTCATTTTCACCTGAGGAAAGTGAGGAAAGTCGTGTTAAGTGCCTTTCCCAAGGGAACAAGATCGGTGGCATGTCAGGACTTGAACCCAGGACTCTAAGTTCCGAGTCGCGCACTCTGCCACTATGCCACACGACCCCACTAAACATTACAGTGATTTAGTGATAGGTGCAGTGTAGAAACACACACTGTCAGTTTAAACCATTGATAGAAATGTAACAAACCAACTATTCTGGTCCACAGAACTGCCAGCACAACACGTACGGCCCCCAGTGTGAGTACTGTAGGCCTGGCTTCTCAGGAGACGCTCGGCAGGGGACACCCACTGACTGTCAGGCCGCGCGGCCGGCGTGTAACTGCTACGGACACTCAGACAAGTGCGACGAGAACGGCCGATGTTTGGTAAGGCACACAATGCTTAATCCATGTGATGAATAATTCCATCAAGTTGGCAAGAGACTGTGTAAGAAGGTTCTTTACTCAGTAACCTGTGGGTTTTTTCATCCAATGTTTTGGTGACCGTCTCACTGTCACCTTCTTCGGGGCAGCAATGACTGGTTCTGATTCATACTGCACCTACACATGTAGGTGTCACTGCTGACATAGTACATAGTGGTCCCAGACATAGAGTCTTGTCACATTATACATAATATATCCAGAACCAGTCATTGCTACCCTGAAGAAGGTGACAGATGGTCAATGAAATGTTGGAAGGGAAAACCCAGATGTTGTTGAGTAAAGAACTTCTTATACAACACGCACAATGCCTTGAACAAAGGATATAATATTGATGTGCCAATCTATTGTCTGTTAATATGTTGTTGTTGTCTTCTCGGTCTAATGTTGATAAGAAAGCACTTAAGTCTTGTCTTCTGTGTCTAAATACTATGTTGCTACAAAGGCACCAGTAAGTGGCAGTATATCCTTTTTGTATACGTAATGCTTTGTTACTATCAATGGTTTAAACTCTGTGTTTCTACACTGCACCTATCACTAAATCACTGTCTTCTTTTCTCAACAGCACTATTGACTTCAACTGTGGTGATGTGTTATGCTCTATAAATGTTGAACTGGTATAATTTGTAATATCTGCTTTGAATTGAAGAGATTTATACAAAACGTCTATTAGGTTTTCTTGGTTTGCTTTTCATGTGTAATGCAGTAACATTACAATGTATTATGTTTTTATATGTCTCACTGTTGTAGGTCACACTGTTAATGTAATTATATTTAATTACATACAACTATGTAATTAAATCTAAGTTTTGTTGAACTGCAAATGGCACCTGTTACTGTATTATGTTCAGTACTTAATGTGCACCACCTGTTATGCTTGCTAGTTGTTCTTTGTTTGTTCTTGACCATCACGTAACTTGAGATTATTAGACACAGCTTCGTGATTGGTAAGATAACTCACTGTTGTATCTAACAAGTCTAAATGTTAGCTGTTAGTTAATCGTGGATGGAAAAAAATTCTGTCCTCAAGGACAATGCAGGACTTTTTACCATCTCTCTCGTAGCCATCTTCTGAGGGAAGACTAAACTCAGAGGTCTGCTTGGTGGCAGTTTATACATGTACAAAACATTGCCCTGTTGATTGTTATCAAACTCATTTGACTGCTTTTATTCATTTCCTAATGCTAGACAATGTTAGTGATATTGCTGGCAAATCTACTGCTATGGTGTAAACCTCTCCTGTGGACTTTTTATGTCACAGGCATTCTTCCTGGTGATGATCAATGATGGCTGCAGGTGACAGCAAAAAGTACTGCATGCATGCTTCGAAATGTCTATCTATTTACACAGAATTTCACAGTAATGTATTGGTGAACAATCATTAATTTGAGCACCAAACTGCCAACAAGGTAGCCCACACTTTTTAAGGTAGTTTCGATCAGTTTTTATTTTATTTGGCTATTTGTTTTGAATTTGGTGTTATAAAATGTTAGTACTAAGATGATCATGGTGATTCAAAAATTGCATATCAAATCACATAACACAGCTGCTGGGAAGTGTTTTTTTTTGTATACTGTTGTATATGTACCAGGCATATTTGTCTCAGTACATCTGGATAGCACTAATTTGCACAATGATATGTGTGTAGTACTACTTAGTTGCACCACAGTGTGTAGAAATGGCACGATTAGCTGATTGCATGATTAGGATGTTCAGCAACACATGTTCAGTTCACTACTACTTATTCAGAGAACTTAGTGTAGTCGTGAGAAAAATGAGAATGGCACTTTTCACTGTCAACCACAGTAAGTTTTGTTCTGCACTTTATATTATTGTTTTATCGTTTGTTTATTTTTTTGTCTTGAATTTTTCTTGCCTATCGCTATAATTGCTTCTATCTTTTTTGTTTCTAACTCTCTCCCTACCCTTCCCTATCTGTAATTTGCATCAGCTGTAACTCTTCTCTTGTCCCTTTTCCCAGAAAATGTCCCCTGAATAACTAACTACCTTCCCCTTTTCAGTGCTGACAGCTGCGGAATAGCTAACGTTACTTTTCTATGGCTAATGAAGCATCTCTAGGGCCTATAATGACTGTGCAGCCTAATGATTCTGCCTATTGCTCACAACAGTGCAATTACACCCGTACAGAGACCAGATGACAACTGAATGTGTGACTTACTTCCCAGAGTGTGTCCAAAGTGTATGGATGAGTGTTTGTGTGTCTAGTGTGGGTTGGCATCTTCATCATACGATTTGTGTTTATTTCCGGTTGGTTTCTTTGGATATTTGTATTACCTTTAAGCACTACAATTTTTAAATAATATTGGTTATGTATGTCATTAAATAATAAATGTTCTGTTTTAGTTCCAGAAATAAGAATACACTAGAAATGTCATACTTTTGTAAACCTCAGAGTAATGCTTGCTTAGGAGCCATATGTAGGAACTTCCTTCAGTAACCTTCCTTCTTACTATCTCATGAACTGACAGGACTGCCAACACAACACGTACGGGTCCCAGTGTGAGTTCTGCATGCCCGGGTTTGACGGAGACGCCCGGCGAGGGACGCCCAACGACTGCCGCGGTGCCCAGCCTGGCCCGGCCTGCAACTGCTACGGACACTCCAGCAGCTGTGATGAGTACGGAAGGTGTCAGGTAAGATTATCTGTCAAACAAATTTATTTGAAGGAGAAAACGTTCAGCCACTCACATAACCATGGATTCTCATCTGTATGGCTAGTCATAAGTCAGAACCCACCCCAGGTTTAAGCAATGCTACTGTATCCTTGGAAATCACATCTTATAGACAATGTATGTAGCAAGTGCACCTTACAAGGCAGAGATATTAATGGGAGCTGTATTGGATATAATGGAGTTAATCACTATGTTTTCAGCACCAAGGACAGGGCAGAGATTTCTGAGGTCCAATGTTCTTAGTCCAGTACCAAGAGAATATATGAGACAAAATCTAAAAACAAGAAAGTAAGATATGTTGTGGAATGAAGTACCAAGATCTTAATGATATGTATAGACTTATGCTTAATGGTTTTACAGTACAGTGTGCGAATACATGTATTTACCAGAAATGCCTCCCTCTTATTGCTTTCTTCAATGCAGCTATTCTCTTCCAGCTATTTTCTTCCAGCTGTAGGTTTTAATCACTGCTTAATTGCTGAAACTAAAACATTATGCTTAATCTGATAGCAGCTGCACTTAGCACTGCCTCACCCTCAGCTGGCAACCTTTTCACTGCTGCAGTTTGCTAATAATAAATGAAACTGATATTACCTTATTGCAGCTTAGCCATAGATGCACAAGCAAAAAAAAACTGCTGTCACATGCAATAGTGCACTAATCTTTGTAGCTGCAGCAATGCCATAGCAAGAACTTACCATCTATTGCCAGAGAATCTACACGACTCTACCTTTTCTCTCCCTATCTCTGATTAACGTTCATCTTGTATCCTAGCAACAACAAGGTACCTATGCTGCATTAATAATTGCGGTAAAATCACCTCAAGGTCATGGCATAACACCACCCCCCTCCCCACCTCTGGTAAGGTCGTTAGTTAAGCCAATTCGGAATGTTGATACAAACCGGACATGACGTGGCCTTGCAGAACTGCCAGCACAACACGGAAGGCGAAAACTGCGAACGGTGTGTGTCTGGCTACTCGGGGGACGCGACTCAGGGAACGCCCAATGACTGCCGAGCTTCCGCCGCCCCCTCATGCAACTGTCACGGCCACTCTGACCAATGCAGTTCAGACGGTGCTTGTGTGGTAGGAGCATAGATTCAGGAATTTCGGTCCAGACTCCAACGTAAAATAACGTGAAAAGAAAAGATAACATCAAATTACGTCTTTTAAAAAATCATTGCAGATTGCAATGACAGCTGCAACATTTTGTCCTGTATGCGCTATAGGTGGCTGACATGTATCACACTGTTGGAAACACCTCTTTGATACATTCAGCCACATAAAGCCCAAAAACACAGGCATACAAATAATGTAATAAATTGCTAACACTAACCCTACAAACCGTTCATCTAACCTCAATGCAGGCAGGCATCACCACATTGCTGCTTGCTTGACGGATGTAGTCCCAATCCTATGCAGGTTCTTGAGTTGATGGTTCTGTGTGTTTTTCCTGTTTCTGTAGAGCTGCCAGCACAACACGTACGGCAGCCAGTGCGAGTACTGCATGCCAGGGTTCACCGGGGACGCCCGCAGGGGCACTCCGCAGGACTGCCAGAAGCAGCAGACCCAGCCTCAGGTCTGCAACTGCAACGGCCACTCCACCACATGCAACGACCTGGGGGTTTGCCAGGTAAACCTGGAATTTCAGATAAAGTTTTGTTATTTTTGGGCCACTCTGCTAAGCATATACTTGTCTTAGGACTAAGAGTTTCATCATTTCAGTAATTCAGTAACACCAAGGTCGTTTAGTTAGTACAAAGGGATACTTTCAAGCTGTGATAGTATTATAGCAATCTTCACATTGTTTCTTTGAATCAGCAAGCACTGACAAGGACTTGACATCAACAGGCTTCAGCCTACCCTACCATTAAAAAAATGCTACTCAGAAGATGCTATCATTGCTTCCATCTCTTGATCCAGATGTGTTTGTGGCTGCAAGGCAGTATCACAATCATCCAATATGCCACGTAAATGTTTGGCTGGTGGAAAAAAATTACAAAAAAGAAAGGAAAGGAAAGGTCTCCCATGCTTCTTGTGCAGAGCGTAGGGTGGTGCCCATCTCCATTTCTGTAGCCCTTGGGCGACACACAGTTGTGCAATGCACTACAGCAGGGGGCTGGTCCGCTGGTAGTGCTGTGTGTTTGACCTCCCCACACTCTTTCTCATATGTGCTGAGTGCTAAGCAGAGAAAGAAAGCCTGATAAAAATGCCTAAAAAATGAGCCAAAGCCTAGACCCCTGCTTGGAGAGTATCCATCTCTATCAATGCACTGCTTTGACAGGACTGCCAGCACAACACATACGGAGCCAACTGTGAGCTCTGCTTGCCTGGGTTTGCTGGTGACGCGCGGAGGGGAACAGCTAACGACTGCACGCCCGAACGCCCGGCCTGTAACTGCCACGGCCACTCGACTGAGTGTGATGCTAACGGCAACTGTGTGGTAAGTTCGCCATGTCCACTGGTCATATGGTCTGGGACTCAAGTCTGATCTAATTTTTGATGCCTTAAGCTACAGTTATTACCGCAAAATACTACATGATCGAATCCAAATCCAGAGGACTGAGAAGTCAAGCTCTTCTGCTCTGATTCAACAGTTCCGGTATGTTTTTGAGTCATGTACTCTTCACGCACCTATTGATGACAGATGCCAACAAAAATTCTGAAGAATGAAGTGTTTTCAGACAGTTAACAGAATTTTAAGCTTGACTGCTTGAGTGTCAAACCAAGATTCTTGCAGGATATGGCAGCATAGTAAAGAATGATAAATCTTTAGTCCCTAGATTATGTTCTTGCTGGTTAGCTTGCATTACTAGTAGCCAAGATGATTCTTATATTAAATGTTTAATATTGGATGTACAACTGTAGAACTGCCAGCACAACACATTTGGCCGCCAGTGTGAGCTGTGCCTGCCTGGGTTCTCCGGTGACGGGCGAAGGGGAACGCCGACCGACTGTCAGCCGGCCCAGCCTGCCTGTAACTGCCACGGCCACTCCGACCAGTGCGATCCCAGCGGGAGATGTGTGGTGAGATATTACAGGAATTCATGTCTTCTAGGATCAGTAGGGAAACATAATAATGTTTATACATTACTGATGTAGTCGCAAAACCATTCCTTATCTGAAACGAGTCTTTACAGACATACATCTTGTAGACATCAGTCTCTCTCATACTGAGTCATAGTACTACCAATGCTACTAGCTAGTACTGAGAAAAGTAGTTGCAAACATGCCCTTTGAAGGGCTGTAACAAGTAGGCTTGTAGCATTTCCGAGTGTTGCTGAAGTAGAACAGCTAGCTGCTGTTCTATTGATGCAAAGATGCTCTAGATCTGTTGCTAGTAGGCTGTAGCAAGTGGGCTTTAGCCTTGTAGGTACCTGTGGTATTTCTGATTGTTGCTGAAGCGGGATAGCTACATGTAGCTCCTGTGTCATTCATACAAAGTTTGCCTGTAGCTGGAAAGCTGTAGAAAGTTTGCTAATGGGCTGTAGTAAGTGGGCCATTGCTAATACATGAAGTTTGCTAATGCGCTTACCGGCTGCTGTGCCATTGATACAAAGATGGGCTAGTAGACTGTAGCTAGTAGGCCATAGCTACATGTAGTAGGCTGAAGCTAGCAAGCTGTAGCTAGAAGGCTGTAGCTAGAAGGCTGTACATTTTGTAGCTTGTAGGCCGTAGCTAGTAGGCTGTAGCTAGTAGGCTGTAGCTAGTAGGCTGTAGCTAGTAGGCTGTAGCTAGTAGGCTGTAGCTAGTAGGCTGTAGCCAGTAGGCCGTAGCTAGTAGGCTGTAGCTAGTAGGCTGTACATTTTGTAGCTTGTAGGCCGTAGCTAGTAGGCCGTAGCTTGTAGGCATGTAGTAGGCTGAAGCTAGCAAGCTGTAGCTAGAAGGCTGTAGTCTTTTACTCAGTATTTCCAAGTGTTACCGAAGCAGGCCAGCTGTGCCATCGATACAAAGTTTGCCTGTAGCAAGAAGGCTGTAGTTAGTAGGCTAGAGCTGGTAGGCTAGCCGGCTGTAGTCTTGTATGTACATGTATTATTTCCAAGTGTTACCAAAGCAGACCAGCTAGATGCTGTGCCATTGTTGCATGGGCTGTTTCTAGCAGGCTGTAGCTTGTAGCCATAGCTAGTAGGCTGTACTCATGTAGGTACATGTAGTATTTCCAAGTTTTACGAAGCAGGCCAGCCGTACCAGCTGCTGTACCATCGATGCAATGATGGGCTGTTGCTACATGTAGTAGGCTGTAGAAGAAGGCTGTAACTAGTAGGCTGTAGCTACATGTAGTAGTGCTATTAATCTGTTGCTAGTAAGCTGTAGCCTTGCTGGTAGTATTTATGAGTGTTACTGAAACAGGACATGTACAGCTAGCTGCTGTGTCAATGATGTATAGATAGGCTGTTGCTAGAAGGCCATGGCTTGTTATCTGTAGAAAGCAGGCTTTGGCTAGTAGGCTATAGCTGTTAGGCTCTTGTAGGTTACGTATTTCCAAGTGTAACCGAAGCAGGCCAGCCGTACCAGCTGCTGTTGCTCCCTCTGCAGAACTGTCAGCACAACACAATGGGCGCCAGGTGCCACCTCTGCCTGCCCGGCTACCAGGGCGATGCCAAAACGGGGACCTCCTATGATTGCCGGCCCACGGTGGTACCAGAGTGCGACTGTCACGGGCACTCTAATGAGTGTGACATTCTGGGAAGATGCATCGTATGTCCCTCGTCCTCTGCATGGAAACTAGCTGGTCCCATTCCAAGTAGTGACTGTCTTGTGTGTCTGCTAAAGTGCTTTCATTCTTGGTGTCCCATCCTTTGAGTTTAGTCTTTGCAACCTGAGATCTCTTGAACATTGCCCAGACTTTCTGCATGTGGAACTTTATAGTAGAAGATTACCTATTAAGTCAATCTGTCCTCAATGTCCTCATTACTATTGGTCTAGTTGTAGTTGGGTTGGAAATAGTAAGAATTGTTGCCAGGAGGTTTCTCCTGTTGAAGGAGGTCCTTTATCCTAAATGGCAAGGACTTAGCAAAGTCATGATAAGCCAACTGTAGCCCATCGTCTGTGTCCTACTTTGCTTCCACATTTTTTCCATTATCTATTTCTTAGAGCCTCTTCAGCCTGTATCAATGTCTAGAGTACAGAGAACTAGAGCTTGTCTGCATTACACTTCAAGGATTTGATCTTCATCATTCTCACGATTGTGAATGACTCCTGCAGCTTACACAATTGCATGTGGCTGTTTAGTTTTGATTAGTTAAGATAAGGAATTTATGCAATCTTTAAATCTCCAGCTTTCTGTAATATTTTTCCGTTCTACATGTACTTTGCTGGTTCGTAAGCAGTCTGAATTGTTCTATTATGGATGATTGTAGCTATACCTACAACGTTTCTCCACAATTTTTTTCCAAATGTTAATGTAATGGCAAATTAGATTACATTTCTTACAAAGTACAAAGTGTAGTCTCTTGTACCAGTGCTTAAATGTGCATATGGTCATTAGAAAAACTGTGCTCAGAATTTTTCATATACATGTAACGTTACATGTTTATCTTATTCTCTCTCTCCCTTTTTATTTTAACCCAGAACTGCCAGCACAACACGTACGGTGTTCAGTGTGAGTTGTGTGCGCCCGGGTTCTCCGGTGACGCCCGGCGCGGCACGGCTAACGACTGTGCTCAGGACCAGGCACGCCGCTGCAACTGCCACGGGCACTCCAACCTGTGTGATGACCTGGGCAGGTGCATGGTGAGGAAGAACTGTTTATTCACACACATCCTTTAACATACACTAAAAACAATTTCAAAGTTCACGAAGCAGCTACTGGGGTATATTTATTTAGCTGAATTGAGTTGTGATATAACTTAAAAGCAATATGTAATACATTACACCAAAAAAGGGTTAAGGGTAAGGGTTAAGCTTTGCACTCATCTTGAAAGTTCATCTTTTTTTTTTTTTTTTGGTGTGATTTTATAAAAACGAGTTCGCTCAGTGCACGGCCACATGAACCACTCCTGGGCACTGAACTAACACTCATTGCAGCATCATGTCTTCTCCCTAATCTTGAAACAGGCTTAGGCAAGCTTGGCTAACTGACTCAATAGGCCAAGCAGGGGTTACAACTTAGGCTGCTCTGGAAATTGGTAGAAGCAAAGCAAATTTGAACTGTAATATACAACACAAGAAATTGGTCTTTCCCAAATTTGTACAGTTGAAAAAGTCCAATTTCTTGTTCTGGAAACTTTTTGTCTTGTTTTTGAAGGTTTCTGGATCCAAGTCAGAGCCTGAACATGCATGTAATCTTAAGCCATTAAACTGTTCTAAGCTGTCAACACTGTCTCTGGGACCAATTTATGTGTATTGATCTAAATATCCTTTTGATTTCCAGAACTGCCAGCACAACACCATCGGGTTCCAGTGTGAGGAGTGCCGCCCCGGTTTCTATGGCGATGCGCGGAGGGGCACGCCCAACGACTGCCAGCCCCGCCAGGTCCAGCCGCCTGTCCGACCGCCTGTGCAGCCGCCTGTGCAGCCTGCGAGATGCGACTGCAACGGACACTCCGAACAGTGCGATCCTTTCGGGAGGTGTATCGTAAGTAGTACATGCAATGGTCTCAGTCAAGGCACACTGAAATTTCTGACGTAGCAGCAACCATTGTGACTGGATATCATTTTAGAAACAGTCACTGACAGACGTTTCAGGTAGCATCCACTCCTTTTTATCAGTATCACTGACAAAATGTAGTGGACTCTGCCTGAAATGTCTGACCCTTTCCAAAATCATATAATTATGCAGTTGCCTGAATAAATGTAACAGTTACTGTTTTCACTTGGATGTCTAACCTTCATTGACGTAGCCATGATTGTAACTGTTAACCTCTATTGTCTCCATATTGTCTATGCACTTTGTACTCTTCATGGTGAAATCTGTATGTCCACATTCATATTGTGCTTTTATATGGTGAGCTAACAAGAACCTGGTTCTTGGATGACAGTATGAATATTCAAATTTGATCTGAAGATTCAACTATTTGTGTGGCCGTCGATGGCCCTTACTGTAGTCTATAGCATGTTACAGCCTCCAAATTGACTCACAGGCTATTCAGTATTAAATGGTACAATGATTTGTGCACAGGTATGGGAAGCCAAAGGTACAAAAAAATTGTGGAATTTTTTTTTTTAAATCTTATCAATGAAATTGTCTGTAACCACACTCTTGCCCAAAGATGACATCTGGACAATTACATGTATAATGGGCAAATGTTTAACTACAATATACACTGTACTGTACCTTATGCCAAAAACAGTTACTCAAGCAACTGGATCTGATTTTGGAAACAGTCAGACCTTTCAGGTAGCATCCACTACCTTTTATCAGTGACGCTGGACAGTTGTCAGAAAAGCAGGTTTATAACTTAACTACAAGCTATTGATTGCAATGCAAATCAGTGAAGACAAATTTTTTTTGAAAGTCCAAAAGGAGACAGAAATTAGACAGGTCAAATTGTACCTTCCCTTTCCAAACAACCCTTTCCAAGAACCAGACTGCTAAGCCACACCACACCATGTCTGCACTTGCGTTGTATTCCAGAACTGCCAGCACAACACCATGGGCGTCCGCTGCGAGCAGTGCCAGCCTGGTTTCCGGGGTAACCCGTACGGCGGGGGCGGCTGCCTGGCCTCCGACCCCCAGCCCAGGTGTGACTGCCACGGACACTCGGACGTGTGCGATGCCGAGGGGAGGTGCATGGTGAGGACGCACAGTGCACTGCACTTTCATTGTTTCTCATTGTGCTTACGATTGTTATGTATCTCACTTGCACATGCACTCCCACTCAGTGTTCGTCACAAGATCTGTTTGTTTGGACGTCACAGATAAACACTCCAGGTCAATTACATACATGTACAAATGTATGACCAATTGACCTGCAGTGGATATAGATGCTGAATTTTGATTGGTGTAATTAATGATTGTCTTAACACAGGACAAATCTTAACCTTTTTATTCCCTCCCTTCAAAATAAAACATATACACACATACACATAAGTAGGGCTACTTTTGCTCTACATTAGAACATGTACATGTAGAAAGGTACTATTTATGCCACCATTTATAACAAAGTAAGTTTTGAATTTGTTACAGTGATACTATAGTATATGTATAGTATATGTATAGTATATTTATAGTATATGTATACTATATGTATACTATATGTATAGTATATGTATAGTATATGCATGGTAAGAAAGGTTTCAGTCTTGACTACATTCAATGGTAGGTACATGTAGGAACTGTTAACAAATGTGATGACTGTCAGTATGATACAAATCCCCAGCTGTGTTTCCCAGGTATCATCAGAATACATCTGAAATGTACTGACTGTAACCGTCATTCTTCTTTCAGTACTTTAACTGCGCTATAACTACACTCATTTAATTTTCAGGAAAAATGTCAACGTCTGTTTTACTCCCACAAAGAGTATTTAAAAAAGTAGTATTGACTTGATTTTCTTCATGTAATGCACACAGAAAGACATGTTCTGATATACATGATTCTGTTGTTTTTGGGGGGAAGGTGTATGGTTTATCTTCAAGCATTGATTTTCAATATTAATGCTGTAGGGTTATGTCAAGAGAATAATTTCTGGGGACGTGGATTGCTCACTGACAAACTGATGGTATTACACTAAACGATTATGTGGTTGGACGATCGATTATATCTCAGTCACTTTTCACAAAAATCATCATAACTTTATCCTCACATGAATGAGCATCTCCTGTTCATGTTCATCCAACCCTCCTCAAGTCTGTGCCTTCATCTCATCTTTCTCTTCATGGTTCACTGTCTCTACAACATTGTCATCCTTCTGCACCAGAACTGTATATTACCATCCCCTTAACCCTTATTCCCTTCAAGGCCATTACTTAAGCTTTCCCCCGACTTGTCTTTTTCCAAGGTAGACGTTCCATCATAGCTTCCTATCCCCCATGTTGTTTTTTCCCCCATACCTACCAATCACATCCAGGTCATGCCCTCTGTCTCAGTTGGCCACACATCAAGGTTGTTTTTGCTTCCAGCCCTTCCTTTTGGTGGTCACCTCATATTTATTTCAGCACCCTGTGAACACCCCTGCTGCCTTGTCCTTGAGGTTTCCATTGTATGTGAGCCCTGTGTCCCCAAGGTCTGCATTGCTACTACCCTGCCCTACGGTTGCCTGCACCCCCCCCCTACATTTATCTCTCTCTCCTGCTTCCTGTTCATCATCATTATATGTTCAACGTCAACTGCCACCATCTGCACATTAGGAAATCATCTCTGACTCCTTCTTTTGATGAGAAGCGTTACACATCTTTCACTTCAGCATGGGTCACCACGTATGATTATAAGCATTCGTGATCATTCACCTTAATAGTTTGCTGCTGATAAAGCTTAGTATACACTTGTTTGTTTTCAACATGCTTCACAACAATGCTTTAAGTTTGGCAGTCATCTGATCATTGCAAACCTGTTTCTGCACCCCCCACCCCACCCCGCCATTGCATAACCCATGCAGAACTGCCAGCACAACACGTACGGAGACCGGTGCGAGCGCTGTGCTCAGGGCTATGAGGGAGACGCGCGGGCAGGCACGGCAGACGCCTGCAGGCTCAGCAACGTTGTACAGCCTCGGCCCTGCAACTGCTACGGTCACTCTGACCAGTGCGATGACAATGGACGATGCTTGGTATGACATGATCATTTCTTTCCATTCATAACTATTTCAAATAAAAGCTCTACCATCATGAATGCTGCAAGCATGTCATATTCACCCTGCCAATGGAAAAGGGTGCTATTATCAGAGTCTGTCATCTTGCAGACATGGCTGCCACCAAATCTAAGATTGTTGTAACAACAAGCTGAAGGGAAAAGAAATCAGCTTACATGACTCTAGGACAACAAAGTTAACTGAAAGGAAATGTAAATTCGAGGGGATTCATTCCTCAGCTAACCGACATATTGCACACGTAGTCGTCCCTCAGTAAGATATCTGGAGCTGCATAGTTTCTGTTTAGAACTTTTATTCAGCCTGTCGCCTGTTAACTGAAAGGAAAGTTTGACATACACGAGTCATCTTTTTTAAGCCCGTCACACATCCAGAACCTTTCCCCAACCAACCAAGGTTGTCTCAACTGAAGTTCTTGCTGATTGGCCAAACAGACTTTTCATGATTTCTATGGCTTGGATGATTTGTTTGGCTTGGGTTTATGTGGATGCACCCACCCACTTCATTTCATTGCCACACCCCACCAGAACTGCCAGCACAACACCATAGGTGCGTACTGCAGCCAGTGTGCGCCCGGCTACGAGGGCGACGCTCGGCAGGGCAGGCCTGACGACTGCCGGCCCAGAGTGCCCCTGAAGCAAGCCTGTATTTGTAACGGACATTCTGACCAGTGTGACGATTCTGGCAGGTGCCTGGTAAGGGTTGAAACAACTGCCTACCAGTTACTAAAAACAACCCCCTCCCTCCCTCAACCCCAGATAAAAAGCACCTATATACCCTCACTTGCACTCCACCTTCTTACGATAGTAACATTGAACTCAAAAATGTTATGAAAACGTCTAAAAATCCCCCTTTGCCTCCTCACAAAGTTAAGAATGTCAGTACCAACTGTCAGTACCAACCCAGATGAAAGAAATTCCCAACTAAAAACCCTCCCTTGCACACAACCATCTAAATAGTGGTAACTTCACCAAATGTAATTAAAAATTCTAAAAATCCCCTTTTTCCCTCCTTAAAAAGTAAAGAATGTCGGCACAAAGCCTACCCCTTCCTCTTCCACATCTTTGATACAAGTAATGAGTGTTATTGAATTTCACCAGATTCCACTAAAAAGAATAATCCTTATTCCCTTCCTCATCCCCAAAATACCAAACCCTCCTCTGTACCCCCTCTTCAATAATGATGATAATATTTTTTACCACATCATTGCAAACAAGAATAAATCCATCCTTCATTCTACATAATGAATGACACCATACTGGCATCCCTCCCTCCAATGATGGTACAAAGTGTATTTCCTAAACAGTTTGCTGCTGAATTACCTTAACATACTTGAAAGACGTTGTAACAATGCTTCATGACAATGCTTCAAATTAAAACATTTCAAGCTGGTTTGTGCACCCCCCACCACTCCCCCCCTCCTTGCATAACCCGTGCAGAACTGCCAGCACAACACATACGGAGACCAGTGCGAGCGCTGCGCTCAGGGCTATGAGGGAGACGCACGGGCAGGCACGGCAGACGCCTGCAGGCTCAGCAACGTTGTACAGCCTCGGCCCTGCAACTGCCACGGTCACTCTGACCAGTGCGATGACAATGGACGCTGCTTGGTACGGTCATTTCCTTCCATACACAAGCATCTCCATGGTACAATTTCTCTGCCAGTAAAAGAAAGTGCTACCACTGAGTCTGTAATCCAGCAGATGTTACATTTGCTTCCATGTTGATGTTAACATCCATCTACATGTACTTTCCCCAGATGAAAAATATTTCAGTCCAGGATGAAGCATTCTATTACTTGACCATTGCCTGTGGCAACAGTCATGACAGTACACAAGAAAGGAGTAGAAGCTATATGACTGGCCACCAGGCATCAACTAGTTAGACCATATGGTATTGACAACAAAAAATAATGCCCTTTATGCCCTTGGGTAATAAGTATCAACTGTTACAATAGATATCAGTACAAGGCCTGACAATCAGACATCATTGTCTTTCTCCCATTGCCACCACCAACTGTGCTACAGTAACTGTTTCCCATTGCACACATGACAGAACAAAGGTCAACAACATCCACACAACATTATTCTTTCACCTTTATTGCCTGCTCTTGAGGGCCGTGTTTAACTTACAATATTTTTGATACCTTGTTATGTTATTATCAAGGATGTACTGTTACTGTGAGGTGCAGTTTGCAAATGTTGAAGATAACGGTATCAACAGATCACAATTATTCTGCTGTACTGTCTGTCATGGAGAGAGTGCAAAGGGCAAAATGGCTACTTCTTCAATAGATATAAAATGAAGAAGTCTTGTGTCATCTTCTGTTAGCAAAGCATAGTACTACACTACACTACACCACACCTTCTACTGTATCTTGTTGGATACAACTTAGAGATATTGTAAGGCTATGTTAGTCCACCAAAGCAGTTGGTGCTTGCACAGTTTCCAGCAAGCATTCAAAACCAGATGACAGACATTTGTTCATCTTTGAGTTCGAAACCCAAGACCTTCTCTGTCCTTATGTAACATTCCCACATACAGAACTGTCAGCATAGCACCATGGGCCCCCAGTGTGAGCAGTGTATGCCAGGGTTAGCAGGAGATCCCACCAGAGGGACTCCGGACGACTGCAAGCCTCCGCGCAGACCCTCCTGCCGATGCAACGGCCACTCCAACCTGTGTGACATCCAGGGCATTTGTGTGGTGAGCAGGGAGTCTGCTGGCTGCACGCTGAATTTTTTTCTTGGATTTCTGAATTTTTCCATCCATCTGTTCTTTGACTCCACCATTGTCATGAAGCATTGTTACAACATCTTTGGCACCGAGAAACTGCTGTTGTTTTTTTAAGTCTTTTACTTCTTTTCATTAGTTGCAGTGTTTTTCATCCAAGCATTCTTTGACTCCACCATTGTCACGAAGCATCGTTACAACATATTTGGCAACAAGGCACTGTTCTTTTTTTTAGTCTGTTACTTCTTTTCATTAGTTGTTTGCAGAGTTTCTTCATCCATCCATTCTTTGAGTCTACCATTGTCATGAAGCATCGTTACAACATATTTGGCAACAAGCCACTGTTTTTTTAGAAGTCTGTTACTTCTTTTCATTAGGTGTTTGCAGTTTCTTCATCCATCCATTCTTTGAGTCTACCATTGTCTCGAAGTATCATTATAACATCTTTGGCACTGAGCCACTATTGTTTTCTAAAAGTCTGTTACTTCTTTTCTTTAGTAAATGTTTTGTAATGGGTAGTAAAACATTGCCTCCTGCACTGCCTGTAGAACTGCCAGCATAACACAATGGGAAGAAACTGCGAGCTGTGCCGTCCAGGGTTCACAGGCAACCCACTGGCTGGAACACCTACGGACTGCCGGCCTGTACAACTGCCCTGCAACTGTCACGGCCACTCGGACACGTGCAATGCCAGGGGAAGCTGCCTGGTGAGGAAGCAGCTCTGAGAAAACTTTCATGTCACATGCAGACCAGCTGTCTTGCCCTTTGTGCTGTCATTCATGTCTCGGTTACTTTGCCATTTTGAGGAAGTCTTGGACATCTTCAGACGTCATTGTGATGTCCTGTTTGGGCTCTCTGAAATCAGTTTTCTTTCCTCTCAAGCTTTCTTCTTTTTGATTTGATCTCTTGTTGTCTTTTCACGGCTTTGATTTCAAAAAATGATCTTTGAACAGATCTACTTGAAGTTGTAAATGCTGTTTTCATCTTCATCAGAAGAGCTGACTTGAGCACACTTCAATTCTTTGCTTGATGTCAAAAAGGTTTCCCCCTCTTGCAGTGTTCCTGTTGCTTGCTTCTTGTCAAATGAACCCTGTATCTGCTTTGACATATTCTTTTTTAGCCACATATTTTTTTTTGCTCATCATGTATCAATTCTGCTTGGACTGTCTCCGTGTACAATGTACATAAAAAGTAGTACCCAATAAGATGCTGCCATTCTTCCAAAGTAACATGCCTCTTAACTTGGTCATCAGAAAACTTATAACTATTTTGAATGCTTACGTAACACATTTGCTCAAAAGGCCTTTATAAGCAACCTCCGCACACTCCCTCTTTGAGTTTCTCTGATATTTCGATGCTTTTAGATGAAACATAAATGACTAATAGGCAGCATTCTTACCTCCCTGTGTAACTTGCATAGTAATAACCTGCTTGCTTGCTTGCTAACTGCTTGCTTGCTTCTCCCCCTCCATCTGCAGAACTGCCAGCACAACACTGTAGGCACGCAGTGTGAGTTCTGCCAGCCAGGCTACACCGGGGATGCCCGCCTGGGAACTCCTGATGCCTGCCAGCCACAGGCTCCACTGTGCAGCTGCAACGGCCACTCCAACCAGTGTGACGCACAGGGCAAGTGTCTGGTAAGTCAGGACAATTGGAGAGGGACATCAGCAGGTTCACACGTTGCAGGTCTTGATACTTGATTTGAAGCTTCATGGGCATCGCACAGATGTATACGTCCATTACTAACAGGAAGAGATTTACCCAAAGGCATTTTCAAAAGGGCACTTCACTGTAGCCAGAGTTCCACTCAGGCTGGGAAAATGGTAGATGACAACAATGGTGGATATTCCTGTATGTACTATCATACTATGTATGTATCATTGTTTTGTCCTATTGGAAGGCATCATGACAACTACACAGATTTCAGCACCGTGGAGAGCACCATAACCATCTGTACCAGCAGAATTCGGAACAGTTACAAGCTTTTCTCCAGCGATTAACTGTGGAGTTTTCCTTTCAGAACTGTCAGCATAACACAGTAGGTTCCCAGTGCGAGCGTTGTAAGCCCGGGTATGTGGGAGACGCGAGGCGTGGGACACCAGGGGACTGTCAGCCCAGGGCGCTGCCTGGGACAAGGCCTGGCACAACGTGTGTTTGTTACGGGCACTCCGATCAGTGTGATCCTACCACTGGGGCATGTGTGGTAAGCTGTGGCTGCCGATGCCATTTACTTTTTAAGAGATCAGGTGTGTTTCTGAGAGAAACACTGGGCATGCACGCACGTGGCTCAGACACTCGCTCACTATCCAGTCCCTGACACAGGTGGGCAGCAGCTGGCTAGACTTCACTTTGCACATGCTGGAAATTGTCTGCTCCACCTGCATAAGCTGAAAGATGCCAGTCAATCCAGCTCAAGGCTTCAGTGCACCTTTAGGTTGCAAGCACACACCTCGCAGACCTGCATAATGTCCACCTATGTGCTGTTTGCCCATACTTTTGAGCATCTACGCAAGATTGAAATTTGCACTTCTGTATTCGAGCCTTTGTTAATCACGTGCTAAATTTACCCTTAGGCATATCACACCAGCTTACAGACACTGCAGCAGCTGATTACACCACAATGGCACCACATATAGTTCTGTTTAAGACCCCACAGGGATCACACTACAACTAGGTGATTGTCCTGTTGTTCTGGCAAACAGAACTGTCGGCACAACACTATGGGAGACAACTGCGAGCGGTGTGTGCCGGGAACTGTTGGGGACGCTCGGCAGGGCACCCCGTATGACTGCAGGAGAACCCTGGCCTGCCAGTGCAACGGCCACTCCGACGACTGCGACCAGTATGGGAGATGCTTGGTAAACCCAAGACATATTACATCTGCACTTTTGCCTGTACAACATAGTGCATTAGGTAGTGAACACTCACAGTGCAGTAGGTAGTGAACACTCACAGTGCAGTAGGTAGTGAACACTCACAGTGCAGTAGGTAGTGAACACTCGCTGCTATCTTCACTATCAGTAATGCGGAACAGCCAGTGCTTTTTCTTAACTCTTCTATGCAGAACTTACTGTAATAGGTAGTCAAAACTCACTGCTATCCTCACAGTCAGGAATGTGAAGCAGCCAGTGATTGACACAAAAAAAGCTTTCCTCCTGAACTCACACTGCAAACTGCCTTCAACTTCTTGCATCACATGCGCCTGTTAGAGTCAATCCACTCAACAATACCTTTAGTGCCCTTCGTTTCACTGCTAATGTTAAGTGCTATCTTAGGAATTGAAAAGTTGCATTGTCTGTGCACTCATCGAAAGGATGTACGTGTCTAGCTTTAGACTAGTTGGAGCACTGCACGTTTGTGGTCACCTGCTGTCCAGTACATGTGGAAAAAGTAAAGTGGGGTTGTGTGGCATAATGGCAGAGCGTTCGGCTCAGAACCAAGAGGTCTCGAGTTTGAATCCTGCCAATCACAAACCCTGTGCCCTTGGGAAAGGCACTTAACACGACTTTCCTCATTCGCTCAGGTGAAGATGAGTATGCCAGAATGATCATTATCATGATCGTGGGCATTAAGGAAAAGCAAACCAGACTGTATCATCCGGACATGTGGTTTTCTCTCTGCAGAACTGCCAACATAACACCATGGGGGATCGCTGTGAGCAGTGTCGGCCGGGCTTTTTCGGTGATGCCCGAGGAGGCACCAATAATGACTGTCGCACATGCTCCTGCAATGGGCACTCCAGCCTGTGCGATCAGTATGGGAGGTGCCTGGTAAGGCAGTACACATTCTGTGTTTGTCTCGTGACATTGTGGATCTGTATCTGTATAGCTGGTATAACTACCCTTTGGGGTAGCACACCAGCTAAGTTTGGATATTAACAGTCTGACTGTCAAAGTCATTGTTGAACTGTATGTTCACCCCTAGAAGTAGGGTGGCCCTCTGTTGTCTGAATTGTTGTCAACGTTATCTTTGGGAGTAATGTTGTCCAAAGTCATTGTTGAACTGTATGTTCACCCCTAGAAGTAGGGTGGCCCTCGTTATCTTTTTTGGGAGTAATGTTGTCCATAACCATTGTCATTTGCCTGTTGTGGCGTAATGCATCATGCGTTGGATATGACTGTTGTAGTCTGGTGATGCATATGCCTGTCGGGTTTATTTTACGTTGTAGTCCTTTGAGCCATAACCTCCTAAAAGACAAGACTAGAAAAAAGTCAAGTGGAGCATGGAACGCAGTCTGGGATCCAGACTTTTAGAGCTATTGAACTGTTGGTCTTGGAATAACCCACTGATTTGTTCTGTATCGGTAGTATGTGTAGTCCTAATTCCATGTTTCTAAGTGGTCTTTTTAGAGCTTTGTCTTGTAGGGCCCATGTCTCTGTTGAAGTTAGCTCTGTTGAAGTTCTGTCTGTTGCCTGGTGTTGTGTTTTACATCTCTACATGTATATATCTGGTCCCTTGTCCAGTTTTGCTTGTTCGCCCAGTACATGGTTTCTGGTGCTTCTGTAGTCCTGTAGTCTGTTGTATTTCAGTTTATAAAAATATACAGTAGCTGTGTTATCAAAGTTAAACTATGCAGTCTGGAAATTCACTGAAATCTTGAAAGAAGACCTGCTTTTATGATAACATTTTTCAACGAAGCGTAAACGGATATCTCCACATTAGAACTGCCAACACAACACGTATGGCGAGCACTGTGAGAGCTGCAAGCCTGGTTACGTAGGCGACGCCAGGGGGGGCACGCGCAAGGACTGTCGGCCTGTCAGCCCCACACGGCCGCAGTGCCAGTGTCACAACCACGCCGACAGGTGTGATGAGCAGGGCTTCTGCCTGGTAAGACACTCAAGAAATTTAACTTCTGGTCTCTTCACTTCTCATGACTGATAGTCACTCTGTAGTTCCAGGCTATAATATAGCATACATGTAGTTTGTAGGCTGTAGTTCCATTGTCCTTTGTGCACTAGTTAGTAGTTGTAAATTCCACAAGTTTCTTAGATTAGAAATTTTCAGATGATGAAATACAATATTTCCATTACACACCAAAGGTCCTATGTGCTAGTGATATCCACTTTTGTTTTTCTAACTGACCTTATTTGTTTCATCCTCTTTTTACATTCTGAAGTGAAGTCACCAGCAACAATTCTTCAAGTTATTCCAAAGAAATGTGGTGGTTCATTTGTGCATTATTTAACAACTTTCTTCACCTCAAACCTTTTGATACATTCCCTCCTAAGGCTGACGAGGTTGAAGTTTGTTCTCTTGCAGGTCTCTATACATTCAGCAGGGATGTGCCAGATCTTGGTTCACCAGTCCATTCACAAGTTGGATTGGGAAATTGACTTTCCTTCTTTGGAATAATGCCTGCAAATGTCTATTGACGTGTTTACCCTTACAGAAGGAGGACATATTGTTTTTGCTCAGTTTCTTCTTCTTCTCCAAACATCAGAGGTCAATAATCTAGACCAGACAGCTGTCACCATGGTAACATGTGCTTTAGCAGAGACCTTGTGGTGTTGACATTATGTAGCAAGTGGTAGGACAAAGTTAGAGGGCTGGTCACCATTTATATGAATGTGCTTGAGTAAAAATAAACAGAGCAGTAGTTTGTTGGGCTGGACCACGTGAAGGTAAACATGATGCATTTGCTCTGCAAATGTTACCTTAAGTTTCTAGTTAGTGATGAAGCTCGTAGTGTTCTGTTGACTGAATCTGTGTTCTGTTGACTGGCCCTGCTGTTACTAGAACTGTGAGCACAACACGGAAGGCCCGCGATGCGAGAGATGCCAGGCCGGGTTTGTTGGAGACGCCACCAGTGGACAAAAGGACGCCTGCAAGCCCATATCCCAGCCCTCCAAACCCTGCAGCTGTAACGGGCATTCAACCACTTGTGACAAGGATGGAAACTGCTTGGTTAGAAGACGGCTGCATGGCTTTATATACTGACCTTTATTTTCTTATCACTCTTCTTCAATGATCACTTCTCGACACCCTCCTCATACACAGCACTTAGGAATAGGCAGTGAAAAATTGTTAATGGGAAGTTGCACATTAGAAAAAAAGTTAGCTGAAAATTAAGAAGCTAACACAAAGTTGTGCAACTCCCTTATGATTTTTCCTCTGTCCCTTATAATGCACTTTTCTGTGACAAGGAGCACACAACATCATCAAGCCATGGAGCACCCATCTCTGTTGCACCCCTTCTAATATTGTATGCACTTAAATTTTCCTTTCACCATACATTCTCTAAACACCTGAAGGTGGCAGTCCACAAGACCTTGCCTGGTGTCATCTGTCATGACGTACATCTAGATCATCATCAATGATCAAGTCTGCACTACTCCTAAGGAAAGACCTGTCATTCCTTTTATTATGACACTTTCTTCTGTCCATTTCACCTAGCAGCGGTGGGAAACCAGCTGATCATTTCAGAAAATTGCACCCGGACTCATCCTTAATTTTTTTGGCCTTCAATCAAACCCTTCACTTCTGTCAAATCTGTATCTGGTTTTCAAGACTGTTTCCTACAATTAGAAAAATTTGTTGGAATGAATTTTCATCTGTGCATTTCTTTCTCTCCTGTGCAGAACTGTGAACACAACACAGAAGGGCGGAGCTGCGAGCGCTGCAGACCGGGCTTCTCCGGTAACGCTAAGCTGGGCACGGCCGACGCCTGCAAGCCCAGGGTGCCGTGCGAGTGCAACGGCCACTCCACCGACTGCGACAGCGAAGGCAAATGTCTGGTAAGGGCGACAATGATTTTAAAGAAGTTGATACTTACTACGTGCACTCATCGATATCTTTCGACAGTCCATAGGTTTCCATTGCAGACATCCATCTATTGTAGAGTACATATAAGTTTTGCAAGCTACATGCATATGGCAAGCACTAGTACTGTATCACTGATATTTGCTTTGCTACAAATATGGCTACATTTAAACCCTAATCTACATGCATGTGGTAGGCACTAGCACTGTATCTCTGATAGCTACTTTGCTACAATTATTATAGCTATGTTCAATCCCTAAGCTACATTCATATGGTAAGCACTGTATTGCCAATAGTTGCTTTGCTACCTTTGCTACAAATATGGCTACATTTAAGCCCTAAGCTACATATATGTGGTAAGCACTGTATCACTGGTAGTTGCTTTGCTACAAATACATGTATGACCACATAATCTAAACCTTAAGCTACATTCATATAGTAAGCACTGTATTGCCAATAGTTGCTTTGCTACAAAAATGGCTATATCTAAACCCTAAGCTACATGTACAATGTCATTCATATGGTAAGCACTGTATTGCATGCTGATAGTTGCTTTGCTACAAATATGGCTAAGCTACATTCATATGATAAGTACTACATATAGATTGCTGATAGATGCTTTGCTACAGATAAGGCTACATTAAAGCCTCGCTAACTGCCAACAAACATTCCCTGCGCAGAACTGCAAACATAACACGGAGGGCGACAAGTGTCAGAAGTGCAAAGCCGGGTACAAAGGAGACGCCACCCAGGGAACCTTTATCGACTGCAAACCTATCCCAGCATGCTTCTGCAACGGCCACTCTGACCTCTGTGACAATTCTGGCAAATGTCTGGTGAGGACATGACAAGTAACGAGATCAACAGTGTGCACCCAGCCTCTACCAGGCTTCAGGAGCGGCTGGAAAGAGTAGACATTGGCCAAATGGACAGATAAACATGCCTGGGAAGTTGGTCCGCTTAAGATGTACAGTTTGCCACTCCTGTACTCTCTACAGACTGACTCCCCTGGCATGTTAGCTGTCAGTTTGGCTAATTTCTACTCTTTCCAGCCACTTACGAAGCCTGGTAGAGGCTACTTTGCACCAGCTGGTGTGATCTGGTAGTTTGAGCGAGGACTTACTTGTACATGAAGAAATCTCAACATGGGAAGCCTGGATTTATTGATCTTTTAACCCTCTTTCTGCTCCCTATAACCACTGCATCCAACATAAACTTGGTGCCAAGTGGCTACTTCAGCAGGGAGAAGGATTTTTATTTATTTATTTAAATCTTCAGACAGCTGGCTGGCCCAGTTCAATTTTGCCAAATTGATTTTCAATGGGGCCCAGCACAGATACAGTAAAATCATCAATATGATGGAGGGAGTAGACTTGTATCAACTGAAGGAAATTGAAGTGTGTCGGCAAAGTGCACTGACTCATTCACCACAAATGGACACCTGTGACAATAGACCTGCACATCTTGCTCCTTTATATGACACTTTCTTTTGTACTCTTAACATTTTGTACACATTGTCTCTGATATAGTGAAAGCCACATCTAGATGAGTAGACTTGCAATGCATGTAAGAAGTTGTAAGAACACATGACTTTCTCTTCAATGCAAGAACTGACAAGTAGTGATCATGAAACTATTGAAAGCACCATTTGACTGCAGTCTACCATTTAAAAAAGTAATGTCAATCACGATGCTCAATAGCTAACACTGTTCATCTTTACCTACTCACTTAAATCTGCTGCTGATTTTAAAATGTAGAGTTTAAAATGCTTTTCTTCTGCCATGCTGTCCCACTGTGCTCTCCAGGACTGCAAGCATTTCACAGAGGGCCCTAACTGTGAACGGTGTGCCCCTGGGTACAGGGGAGACGCTAAGAAGGGAACACCGAACGACTGCAAACCTAAGGTTACAGAGACCGCTAAACCCACTGACAAACCAGTGGTCAAACAACCTACCGAGAAACCGGAGGCTAAGCCCACTGAAAGGCCAGTGGTTAAGCCGACAGACAAACCTGGGACGAAACCGTGTGAATGTAACGGACATTCCTCGACTTGTGACAGCAAGGGACAGTGTCTGGTAGGTCTACAATAACCCGACTTCGTGACTTGAACAGCAAAGTTCTTCATTCACTACCACTTATATAACATTTAGCTGGTGTGTTACTCTGAAGGGCGGTTATACCGGCTATACCATAATTACAGATCCAGATACAAGAGCAGAAATTTTGACGACCATCTGCCATCTTCATCAGGGTACAGTGGTTAAATAAGTGGTCGTAAATAAAGAACTTGCTTTTCAATCATTCACCAACCAAATATTTTACGGATGTGACATTGTGACAGGGTGCCTTTCTCTTTATCACTGGTCTTCATTGTGACGTTACAGGGTTCTTCACTCTTCATCATTGGTCTGCAAACAGCTTGGATTTATCATCTGTTTTTGTATGGTAGCATCTGTGTGTATCTGAGTATGGTATCCTATTCAGGCACAGGCAAACCTGCTAAGAAGGCCTCAAAGGGGACTGAGGTAAAGTAGCCTTCTGGGGCAGGTCATTAAATGCTTGCACCTATGAAAAAAAATTAGGGACTGGGATAATGTTGTTGTTATGGTCAGGCAGCCAACTTTAAAAGATAGTCACTTGGGTAGGTTTGACTGTACTTTCACACTTCTCAACAACAGGGCTTCTTTACACAAATGTCACAACATCGACTGAACACAATTTGGGATATAGGAATTTTATTTTACACTACCAGTATTGTCTCTTACCCTTCTTATGTTTCAGTCTCTATCAGATACCTTCCTCAGAGTTTCTGCCTGGAGTTCTGAGATACTATAAAAGAAAATCCCTATATCTTATACTTTTATTCAATTACCATCCTGATGAAACTATTTTTGACTGAACACTAGTAGGTTTTGATGTCATCTTGAAAGTTCATCTGTGTTGGTAGAAATCATTATGAAGCAAGTTCATAAACACATTCAAGAAATTGGACCCACCCAAATTTTCGACTGTACAACTCCAGTCTTTGTCAAGGAAACAGACAAACAAACACTGGACAAAGACTGGAGTCGAAAATTTGGGTGAGTCCAATTTCTTGTGTTGGATATTACAGTTTAAACTTGCTTCATAAGGTTTTAATGTCAGTAAAGCAGTACCATGAAGTTTATTTTCTCTCCTTTTCCAGGACTGTAACCACAACACAGAAGGCCCGCACTGCGAGGTTTGCCGCCCCGGCTACACCGGCGATGCCACCAAGGGAACTGCCCAGGACTGCAAGCGCCACGAGCCATCCAAATGCCCCATGTGTAACGGCCACTCGTCCACATGCCCCAACGGCAGATGTCAGGTCAGGGCTCGTGCATATTTACATTTACCTTTGCAGAAGGAAAACATACTTAGTATTCTGTTTGTTCTGTTTCTTCTTCCTCTTCATCTCCAAAGAAATAAGGTCAATGACCTGAACCAGATGTCTGTCACCATGGGTTACATCATGTTGCAATTTCATAGCAGGAGGGATTCAGACTGCTGCCACCATATTATATGTGTTTGAGTAAGAATTAACAGAGCACACCATATGGGAAGGAAACCGTTATTTTCTAGTCTATAGGGGCTTTTCTTTGACATCATGATAATTATGACAGTTGAACTCCAGTGATCTTATGTTGGCAAGTAAAGTGGATTACAGCAGCAGCATGCTGGTGTGTTTAACAGACATACAAGTGTACATTGTGATCCAACATGGCTCATGTGATGTAATGTAAAAAGCCTGTAAATAGCATTAGCAATGTGTACTCTACTATTGTAACGTTATATGTACTAAGTACGCAATTCATGATGACCATATGCTGCAACTGGAAGTGACTGACAGATGAGATATGAATTTGAAGGCAATTTGATTCTGTATTTGCCAACCTAATGATTGAGTGAAAGCTACTGCATCATGTAATGCTTTTCAGCAACAAGAATGATGATAAAATCTGCAATTCATAATACAATATGCTCTGGAAGTGACAGACATATTATTTTGTACTTCTACCTTCCACAGAACTGTCTGCACAACACAGTTGGCCAGTTCTGTGAGCAGTGTAAACCTGGTTTCTATGGTGATGCCACAACTGGCACCTACTTGGACTGCAAGCGGTGCCCGTGCCCACTGGCCCTCCCATCCAATCAGTAAGCTCCATCATTTTGTGATGTCTGTGAAATTGTACAGTATTTCTCTTGCCTGACATTGATCTGAAGTATTATCTAGCTCCTGGAAAAGCACTACATATAGATCCATAAGGCAAGATCATAATTACAAACACCTTACAAACATCTTACTGAAAACCCAGTGTAAAATGTCCTGTCCTTTTTTTTGCATCAGCTTAAATGTAACATGAACAAGTCTCAATAACAACGTTATTGATTTTCCTTTTAGTGATTATAGCCTTTATGTTAAACATGTGAAGAAGTAGGTTTAGAGTGCACCATGTGGGAACATTATATGGCACTCAACCAAAAGCAGTACTAAAACTTCAATAGATTCTGATCCCTTCAGCAAAGGAAATCCGGTCTCTAATGGAGGACAGAGTGAGGTGGAGGAATCTTTGACACTTTTAAGTTTAGTTCGAGTGGGAGCTCAACCAAAGTAAAGAAGTAGTAATTATAAGTGATCCCTTTGACAACAGTCTGCTGTACAAAAGGTTTACTGAAGCCCTCTCCTGTTGCCAGGTTCTCCCCCACATGTGTGCTGGACATCGATGGCAAACCCACCTGCACAGCCTGTCCTGCCGGATACATGGGCAGGGACTGTGGAACGTAAGTACTTCATCTTCCTTACTTTTACTTTACTGTATCCGTCCACTTCTACCATCTGGGGTGTCATGGGGAGGGACAGTTGGCAGCTGACGGCTAGTCTGGAGGCTCTTGTTAGTCAGGGTGTCCTTCACACTCTCTATCCACATCTTCCTGAACACGTCAGCAGAACGTATTGCACCTGCGCGAATTCCGTAATGTACTGTGCATAGCACTTCGGCAGAACGTCTCATATAAGGTCGTATTTGCCCATATAAGATCAACACTCCGTCTGTAGTTCCCAAATGTTGTGTCGGAAAAATATCGTCTGCAACAGGCAAAATTCTGATGCAACGTTGACCAAAAATCCAATGAAAACCGTGAAAAATCGGGGTTCTGCGCAGGCGCAGTATGTTCTGCCGACGTGCTGCCTTCCTGGGACGTCCCCTGGCCTTAGTGCCAGACTTTCTTTTGTTGTATGCTCTGTGTGGTACTTTTTGTGGTGGCACCCTTGAAAGGTGTCCCAACCACTTGATTTGCTGTTGGTCAATTAACTGCTGGACTGGTTTTAAAAAGTTAGTCCAAAAGAGCCTTTTTGAGCAGTGGGTTGTTAATCCACTGTGTCTAGAGCATGGTACTGGAAGGTGGAGCCCATCCCCCTCCTTCCACTGCCTTTTACCTTCCCAACCAAACTTACTTAGACTTACAATGTAGTTCCTCCCGTGCAAGGCACAGTGGGGTCGTGTGGCGCAGTCGGTAGCGTGTTCGGCTCACACCCCAGAGGTTGTGGGTTCGAACCCTGCCCATGTCACCGATCTTGTGCCCTTGGGAAAGGCACTTTACACGACTTTCCTCACTTCACTCAGGTGAAAATGAGTACCTAGCTTCGGTTAGGGACGTCCCTCGGATAGGACGTTAAATGGAGGTCCCGTGTTTGGGAGAGCCACACCCCATGCACGTTAAAGAACCCACCGCACTTATCGAAAAGAGTAGGGGATCTTCCCGGTGTGAGTGGTTCAAAACCTTACAGTCCGGTCTTACGCAGCTTGTACATGTGCGCACATGTACAAAACTGGTGTGTTACGCCTGAAGGCGGTTTACCGGTTATGCGAAACAAACAAACAAACAAACATTGGGCAGCAAGCCTCCTCCACTCTGCTCTGTCTTTGGCGAGAGACTCGGCATCCTTCAGTGATACCCCCTTGCTTTCCAGATCTTTTTGGAGGGTTAGGGTTAACCTAACCCTCCGGTTACCCTTAGGGACCCTTAGGGTTAGGGTAACCCTAACCCTAACCCCAACCAAAGCCTGGTGCCCATTGCTTGTTGTGAGATTATTTGGTAAGTTTGTGGGTTTGTTGTGTGCCTATTTCATCAAGTTACCTGAGCTGTTTGTGGAAAATAATAACAATAATAAATGCTCTTTTTTCCACAGATGTGCTCCAGGCTACATTGGCAACCCAAGAATCCAAGGACAGACGTGCAAGAAAAATCCAGGTAAGTTGTCAAAGGATACTTGGAATTCCCGTATGAGAATGATGCTGGGCAGTCTGCTACTTAATCTTTCTTCTTCTGGAGTTTCTGGTACAAAGTAAAGACATGAACGATCAAGTAAATAATTGGGAAGCACAAGTAAGACTAAAAGATTTTGCAGTCCACCTGGTCCAGTAATACATTGTATATAAACTTAAAGCCTAAATTACAGAACACTTTAAACGTCATTTCAATGCTTGAAGAAAGAAGTCAGGAAAATGGCTTTGGAGGTGATGGAATTTCATGAAAGGCGTTTAACATTACGGGAATTTTAACATCACGTAAGGTAGCTACATGAGGTGTGGTTTCAAGGTGAGCAGTTTTTAAAGAAAAGACCCATGCGGGTTTCCCCACGGATGTGATAACCCAAAAAAGTGGGCCTCCGTTAGAAGTAACAAGTTTCCTTCCTGGTCTGTTTGACAGCCATGTAGTGAGGCGGCCGACTGACGCTCGCCTGCCCACCGTCTATCCAGGAGGAGGGACACCAGAGAGCAGGGGCGCACGGCCACGGGGAAACATTACAGCGTAGTCAGCTTGTCTATAAACGCAGCTTTAGTGTCGTAGTGAACGGGGGAAGGTTGCTAAATTGTTAGATCGGGGGAAGGATGTGCGTTACGGTCTTTATTTATCGAAGTGTTTTATGGTTTGCGATGATTTTGTAGGTGTAGGACTAAGTGTATAGTGGTAATCTTCTCCAGTAGTACATTGCAGGTTAAACAAACATAAAGGGAAATCCCGTATAGGGTAGCCATGTCAAAAGAAAATATATAAAAAAATTGAATATCCGTAAATAATCTCATACCGTTGGTGAATGATTGAATAGCAAAGTTCTTTATTCACAACCACTTGTTCAACAAGAGGATCGTGTTAAAGGAGTGGCTGTGAATGAAGAACTTTGCTATTCAAAAATTGAGTGTGTTATAAAAAAAATTTCTACCTAAAACTCTGAAGCCCAGACTGTTCAGTGCACCATTAATTATGTCTGATGGAAAACAATGTTTTTAAGGTTGTAGAAAAAAATTGTTTTTAAGTTTTGTCACAACACTGAAGTTTTTTCTTATCGGTTACAATAATAGTTTTTTGTAGGTTAGATGGTGAAAAAAATGTATTGCTAAGAATATGACCTTCCCTGTTCTTGTAGAAAGAGATGTGTATTTATATTGGTGATTTTTACCCTATTTTTGGACCATGTATGAATGATGTTGTCCTTTGGCCCAAGGGGATGTTGCATTGCATTTGTTCGAATGTTTCTACCTGATTGCATCCTCTGAGTATGACTAGTTTGGGTTTTCTACACTCATGAATAATGAGTTCAATTTCTGATAGGAACTATGTACAGTAAATATGATGGTGATGGTGGATCTTCTTTTTCTCACCTTTGCTACAGTAGAAATGCCTGAACCCCAGCCTTAAGCCAAGTTTAAACTTTGTAAGGAATTTTGTGAGGATGGTGACATTCTTACAGTTTATTTTGAAATAAAAGGGGTGAGCTAGAACTTGGTGTCAATGTATTGCTTTCTGTTTTAATTAGTTGTTCTGTCAGACCCTGAAAAAATTCAACACTGATAAAAAAAGGGAATTTGGAAGCCTTGCAACAAAACAGACATCTTCAGAACTTACAGTTCTAAGCTTTACACAGGGCTTTTGATCAATGTGTAGACTTCCAGTTTGGAGTGAAAAGTTACATGATAAACGTTTTTGCTGCATTGAGCTAGCATATGTAGGCAGTATTGTAGTATCACTTCAGGACAGGCAAGTTAACCTTTAGCACGCTAGGGTAGCCATGTGCCACTAAATCTGTCTTGGTTATGGGGTTAGGGAGCTGGGAGAACTTGCAGAGACTCTGGATCATACTGGATCTAACTCAGCTGCCAACATGACAAGCTAAGGTGATCCCTGTGTCAAAGAGGTAGATGCCACCACGCATGGGACCAGCCCGGGGCCTACACTTACTTTATTTACAAAATCTGCCACTAATTTTTCTCCAACAGCTGCCCAGTAAGCATGAACCAGCTGTACTGATCCAAAAGTCTTCTTCCTCGTCACCCCTTTCACTGAAAAAATACTTTCCCCAGAGCTGTCTTCTGCCTTCTTCAGTACATCATCATCAATTTTCATCCACCACCATGTAGATGTACATAAACCTCCTTCAAGCCTTTCCATGCTGATGCCTTAGGCCACAACAATTTAATTTCTTGGTTAACGGATTCGCCCGCTTCATTTTTTTCTGATTTGCAAATAAAAATAAAAATTCAGAATCAACTGCAAAATGCTTATATTTTGCCCTGAACAGTTGAAAACAGTCCTTTTCATCCTAGCTGTTACAGTTATTCCATCTTTCAATGCAGTGGTATCATTAAAAAGTCAAGATTCATTGTTTAAATTTTGAACCAGACTGGTGTGTTGACTTCATGGGTCCTATGGTACCATTTTGGGCCATAATAGGATGCCTAGATCTGTTTTTATTTTTTTTTCGCCCGCCCGCTCCATTATTTTTCTAGAAAAATCCGTTAACCAAGAAATTAAATTGGTGTGGCCTTATGATGTGCTGTACTGAACACATGAACAAGTGCTGCACTGTTTTGAAATATAATGTCCTGCTTTTCTACATATTGTTCACCTCTGGTTTACAATATAGAGTAGACAACAGCCCATCACTTGTTCATGTGCAGTAGAGCAAACCAGGAGGATTTCACCTTGCTATTTCATTAAGACATGTTTGATTCTCATGAGTTAATTGCTGTGAAAATGTCTCACTGCGCCCAAGTCACACATCTTGAATCAAACATATCTACATGAGAAGCAGAAAGGTCTGTTCATATGCTAAGTAAGTGTATCATATCAAAGACCATTGCATCATCAGTACACATCATACTAACCGCTGTGATTTCTTCTCTGTCTTGTGTCTTCTGTCCGCCCCCCCCCCTCTCTGTCCCAGTCGGTGCCCCCACGGTGAGAATCTCCCCCTCCGCTCTCAGCTCAGAACCCGGATCGTCAGTCACGCTCAGCTGTGACGTCAGCGGAGCCAGGCCTGTCAAGGTGGGTAACTTTAAAAATAATCCTTTCCTGAATGCAAGTCATGCCTTCAAATTTCAGGGGAGTTAATATCAACCAAGAATTGAGATGTTCAAACACTCGTTTTTGTTTTTTTTTCAAGAACTATCGTACAGTGAACTTTCATGTTAGATCGGAACTAATGCCACCAAGCACATTTGGGGCATCATCACCAGAAGGCTTTTCACAACTCCTGCAATTTAAGATGCAAAGTTTTGAGTAACAGGTCGTTTGGTGTGATATAGCTAGCTGCTGCTGTGCCAGTTGCCTGCAAAGCTGGTGTGTTGCGCTGAAGGGCAGTTATAATTGATCTGGAGTACTGTGTTAAAATTTGCTGAGTTGGGGGTTAAAGGAATACTTCGTGGATAATTTGAAACCTTGTATTTCCTGTTGGCTCAGTTATTCTGGGGGCGGAAGGACGGCCAGCCCCTCCCTCCGCGTGCCCACGTGAGGAGCGGCACCAAGGACTCCCTGCTGGTGATCGACCCGCTAGAAGACGCGGACGCTGCCACCTACGTGTGCACAGCCGTCAACCCGCTGGGCACCGGGGACCAGCAGGCTGTGGTAGCCATCAAGCCTAATGAATGATAATAATGTTACTGTTGAGGGTGGATGTGGATTAGCCTGGCTGCCATCCTCTGTAGTTACTGCCGGCTCAATTTTAAAAAGTACTACATAGAAATGTGACCCAGGCAGTCGTATAGCCATCAAGCCTAATGTATGATTTCTCAGAATGGATGTGTAATAGCTTGGGTGCCTCCCTCTGTAGTTACTGCTAGCTCTTTCCTAACAGTAACACAGCAAAAAAAAAGAGAGCCGGTGATAACTACAGTTTAGAGGATGGCACCCAGGCAGTCTTGGACGTAAAGCCAAATGATTGATTTCTCAGAGTGGATGTGGACTTACCTGGGTGCCATCCTCTGTAGTTACTGCCGATTCTCTCTTAACAGTAAGAAAGCGAAAAAGAGAGCCAGCTATAACTACAGAGGATGGTACCCAGGCAGGCATGGACATCAAGCCAAATGAATGTGTTAGAATGGATTAGCCTGGGTGCCATCCTCCGTTAGCCTCCAAAGGGCCTTCAGAAAGGAGTATGGACCATACTCAAAATTTTCAGCAAAAAAAGGGAAATAATTGGCCAGGAGAGTTAGTCTGCAGAAAGGGTACTAGAAAATAAATTCTACAGTGGTCACACTCCCCTGGCCAGTTATTCTCCCAATTTGGCTAAATTTCAGTTTTTTAGTCTGTTGGAGATTTATCCTCTGTCTGTAGTTACTGCCAGCTCTCTCTTCACAGTGAAAAAGTAGAGAGAGCCTGCAGTAACTAATAGTATGTAGGATGGCACACAGGCTGTCGTGGATATTAAGACATGCATGTCCCAGAATAGATGTGTGGATATCACCTGTGTGTGTTTGTTCTCTCTCCCATCCAGTCCAGGGCAGCTAGCAGAAGAATGTAGGCCAGTGAACTGTGATTTTTTTTTAAAAATACAATAATGTACTTTCTTACTTACATCATTGGTCTGGAATTATTGTGACTGAATGGGGGAGGGGGGCACTGTTTGCATCACCAGTGATTTGCTGGTCAATCTTACACAATCCATGCTTAAGACCTTGCTTGACAGACACTGGCAATGTCCTTGCACAGGGCTTTCTTCTTAACTGTTGTAAATTTGAAAAGTAGGTTATAGTATGGTTATGTTAATTGTCTCTAGGTTGGTATATATCCAGAGTTGTTTTAGACTTGTAAAGGAATGATACCAGTAACTAGAGTAAGTAGCTATTGGGTATGTACTATAGGGTGTATCTCAGGGGTAAGTACATTCAAACATATATTACAGTAACCTTTAAAGGGGAGAATTTTAGGAGGAATATTTAACCAATAAAAAACGTTTCAAACTATATCAGGTTACTACAAGTGTGGAGGTTTGTGAAATATCTAAGGGCACACGTATATTGACTTGTACGAAAGTTTTAATGTATTGAACCTAATCTTACTGTAATTATTATGTATGTAAGCCATTTAGTCATGCAAGTTGTAGACCATAAAAATGACTGTACAATAATAATACAAAAGTTTCCCCTTCCCAAAAATGATCACTGCCAGTTATGGCCATGCAAATGACAATCATGTAATGTACAAAATATGTAATTATACAAAACATAGCTACATAATGTACATTTCATGTATCTTCTGTATTTCCTACAGCGTTTACTATTCATCTTAAAATACATCTGATGATAGATCGATAATTTGTTCGTGGTTATACCATAGTGTGTCAACACCACTTGGCTCAGAAGTTGCATGAAAACATAGAACTCTTGCAGTGTCAATAAAATATTTTGTTGCTATTGTCAACTGAATGTCCTTGTGTGTGTATGAATGTATGCAAACCATTTGATCATTATAATACTGATGGAGAACTTAGTGTACACATGTAACTTTTTTTATATCATTAAGGTGACTCTCCCAGTCTCAGGATCCCCAATACCAAAAAATGCCACAGCATATCAAACACCATAAGGTACAAAGCTCATCAACAGTATATTTTAGATTGTTCTGGTACAGTTATCTTAAGCTTCTAAAACGATCAGTGGTATGAATCCTAGGTGTCAAAAATGCCATATGATTATAGCATCAAAAACATTAAGATACAAAAACTGGTCACATGCAATACACAGTTCGTCTGACTCCTATCATACCATTTGATATTACATGGCCAATGTCAGTAATTATTGCAAAAACAACTTACAAAATATATGTAGGACTGCCACAACACGTTTTAAATACCAACATAAACATGGTTTTTCACCGACAATTTCTCAAGTTGCTAAAATGATCAGTGGTATAAATCCTAGGTGCCAAGGTGTAGTCAGTCTTTGACCTGTACATTCACAACATCTGCATGTTCTTTTGCATGCATGATAGTTTTGTATGGCAGCCGGGCATAGCAACACATGGCACATGAGCGAGGGGTGGGCAGCTTACAGACTTCCCGCCACTGCTGCTCCTTACAGTCGTACTTGTACACCGTGTCCACCATGAAATAGTCCTTCAGCCCACCGATGACGTAGATGTCCTTCTTGTAGACGCACACAGAGCACCCTTCCAGGGCGGGCTCGGGGAACCCTCGGCGTGTCCGTGCTGTGATGTCCATCAGGTCGCCGGACGACTCTGGCAGGGTGCTGTGGTGAACGCTGCTGTAGTTTGCCCTCAGCCACGTCTGAAGCACCGTTACTTCGTCGTGCCAAGGCAGGGAGTAAAAGGAGTCACGCGTCCAGCCCAGGCTCCGGTTGTACTTGAATACCGTTGTACCGTTTAGAATATACAGATCTTCTCCGACCGTGATGACAAGGGGTTTCAAGTACCCGATGATCAAATCATCTGGCAGGTTAGGCAGCTGGTGCCACCTTTTTGTGAAGGTGTCGAAGTACAACATCGTTCGGTGGTGCGCCCTGGTATTTGAGTCCCATCCTAAGGTATCGAGCAGGAACACGTTCTGTGGTGTTGCCGCAGTCAGCAGCCCGCCTCGCATCATGGTGGACATGACACCAGGCAGCTCGATCTCCATCCCCTGAGGCAGCACCCATCGAGCTCCATACTCCATCTTCGTGTTGTAGGAGTAGAAGCGGTACCTGTGCGTGGAGACGTCCCTTCTTACATCAGGGTTTCCCTTGTTAGCCACGTAGATGGTGTCTGCGAGGTAAAACATCTCGACCGGGTTTCGTGGCGGGCTCCCCTTCAGGTCAACCCACCGGTCTTCGTCGATGATGTACGCCAGAGCCGGCACGTTCGCGATCGTCCACCTGCTGCCATCCTCAAGCACAGCCTCGGACTGCCCCCCACAGACCACAATGACATCCTTGAGAGTACCTAGTCGTGGTCTGGTGTGGAGACGTGTCGGAGGTGAGTCCTTCGACAGCTGTGGTCTCGTCAGGTACAAGACTGCTTCATCAGCGAAAGACAGGCACTCGGGAAACTCCGTCAGCAATGGCTCAGACTTCATGTTGTTGGTGACATATTCCAGCTCCATCAGCTGGATGCGTATAGAGGCCAAGAGTCTTGGAAACGCGGCCCTGCGATTTACGACATCGTACTTTGTCCACCTCACGACGAGCTCAAACAGGTCCTCCTCCTTGTCCACGAACAACGCATCTTCGATGAGCAGCTCGAGAAGACGTTCCACGGGAAGCTCCAGAACATCCTCCGTCATGACGATCTTGGCGAAGTTGTCCAGAATGAACTTGCGCGCCTGTTCCTTGAGCTGGTCCATGTCGTACAGGTCGGCCACCGCCCACACGCTGAGACATGTGCCCAGGCCGACGTTGTCGGACAGGAACTGCTGGCAGTAGTCCTTCAGGTGGGGCACGTCCAGGTGAGTGGCCGCTGCCAGAACCACGTGCACGTTTCCCAGGGTCAGTCTCAGAACACCTGTCAGATGGCAGCAAGAGGGGGGAGACAAGACTATTTTGAAAACAGATGTTGTTGACAAATGACAATTATTCCTGTCCATATCTAGCCTTATGTGCCATCTTTAAGCACCCAATTGCCCTCTCTTTGGTGCAGGGTACTAGCTGTGTAAGTTGGATGAAACACCTTCTTTTATTAATCAAGTTTAATTGAGGTTTATGATGACCAAAACCCATGCCCCCCCAAAGGGCACTTTTCAACATACATTCAACAAGACTTAATTGAATCTACTGTGTTACCCCAAGTGCACTTGGTGGAAAAAAATGTTTCAAAACATACAGATTGAGTGATAAGCTAACATGAAGCTTCTTTGCATCCAAAGCATGATATGCTGACATACAGCTTCTGTGCATGTAACTCTCAGTGATACCCCAGTAGGGGTGGTTAGAGAGTACTCAAGAAGAAGAAGAACGCTGCTCCCGAGTGGTAATAAATGCAGTGTTCACCTGTGTAGATGTACTGGACCACAGTCTCCACCCCTTCTGCATCCAGGGACCCCAGCTCAATCCTGCCGGCATGTGTCTCTGTGTAGTCACTGCGGTAGATGGAGGCAAAGTACTGACTGCCTGAAGCCAGGACTGCACGATGGGCAAATATTTCTCTACTCCCTACAGCCTGGAAAACATGAACACAAGCTTAATTATCTGCACTCACTTACCACAGATATGAAGAGACAAGGATGTTGTAAAACATGAGAATCCAGCTTGTTGTTAGAAAACCACTGGATTCTCTATACTTCTCGTCAAGGAGGTTGAAAATCATGCCCTGATTGCCAACTTGGCCCAAAATGCAATCCCACATTGTCAATATCAGTACCATGGCTACACGGTCTCCCAAATTGAACCAATTCATCTGGTGTACGTCCAGAAACATTTTGCTAACTGGATGGCAATGACAAAATCATCCCTAAGTGACATGAAAGTTCATTAATTTTGTTTTTAAACAGATCAATTTTTCCATCAAAAATGCAACTGTTTGATGACACCGATAGCAATGAAAACCAACAAATGGACAGGCTGTCATACCAGTACGATATCACAGAGGGCGCCCGTGTCTCTCAGCTGTTTTAGGCTCTGCAGAACGTTCCCGGGGTGGTCACTGGTGCGGAATTCCCGCACGGGTTCGCTGGAAACCTCGTCCTCGGCCATTCGGTTCATCTTCGTCTCTGTCACTCCCAGGCTGAGATAGTTGTGATCATTGGTGAGGGGTGCCAGAGTATACACACTTGCAAGTTTACGGAATACAGTGCACAGTTCAATTTTACGGAACACAGTGCAATTGTATTAGTATACACAGTTCAGTTTTACGGAATACAGTGCAATTGTATTAGTATACACAGTTCAGTTTTACGGAATACAGTGCAATTGTATTAGTATACACAGTTCAGTTTTACAGAATACAGTGCAATAATTATTATTGTATTATACAGTTCAGATTTACGGAATACAGTGCAATCGTTATTAGTATACAGTGCAATTTTACAGGATACAATGCAATCGTATCAGTACACAGTGCAATTTTACTAGTATACAGTGCAATCTTACCAGTAAAATTGCACTGTATACTAATACGATTGTACTGTTTTCTGTAAAATTGCACTGTATACAGGTACCCCTGCTGGTGTACAGATGTAAAACCTAATCTCCAAGCAGATCCCTTTCGGTGGCAAGACAGTATCCATAATTAGCCAGAGAAGGTCGGCGACCACTGACGGTGGTGGGGGTACCGACAAAAAAAAAAACACGGCCACATATAAAAGGCTAACGATCAATCCCCCACAACCTCTGCTTGGAGAGTAGTAAAACCTGCGTACCACACACTAGTATAACACAGGGCAAAATGTTGGGTGTCAAGTATTTGGGATAAAAATAGATGTGCTTTAAGTACCAAAGCTCTGTGCTGCTATTAAAGGGCTAGCAAACAAAAGTATGGGGGAAATGGCCCCGACACCGAATGGTACCGAACGGCATTGGCATCCCACTGCGGGACGGGTTTGTTCCGGACCAGAGGCAGGTCTGGTCATGAAACTCCATCAGGGCTCAAAAGTTTCCAGACTCAACCCGTCCTCAACAGTGCAGTGTAGATGAGCTCAATATATATCAATGCACGTTTGCTTAGCCCTTATCCCGTCCAAAATCATTGACAACCTTCTCTTCCAATACTTAGTGATATTACGTAGGTAATTATATGACGTGGAAAGGTATAATCATGGCAAAGAAATGCTGTACACTTACCGTAACGTGCAGAGCTATATATAAACACATGGAAAGGTTAAAGGTTACAAGATAAGCCCATTGATTTGTAGGTAGAGTAATAAGTGTTTTATCATATCTTTTATCATGTCTATCATTACAGACTTTTCCTATGTTGCTAAAAAGTATTTGCAAGTGTTGTTTGAATCACTTACTTACCAAACGCCTTTATAACTTGAAAATGAAAATGAAAACTTTGTTCACTCCCCTACATAAGAAAGTGTATTCTCCCGATGACCCATACATCTGACGACGCCGTACGTGTGATGTGAGCTAGAATTTTCTTGAGGTTTATACCCCTTTTTGCTTCGTTTTCTGGGAATATACTTGCATGTGGACATTGCCAAAAGTACACCGCTTATTGTTTTGCATGTTTAGTATCACTAAACACCGTTTTATTGTATATTTCCATGAAGCAGCTACTAGTATGTGCAGGCTCGTATGTGTGTGTATGTGGGGGGGGGGGGGTATACTAGTAGTCTGGAAAATTATTTCGTCGAGCAGAGTAGTAGATTTCTTCGGCCAGGTTGAGACCGCTCGTCCCTTTACTTGAATTGTCATGTCTGGCTTGAGTGGACAGCCCAAGTAGCCTTAGTGTCAGCCTTCTTAGCTTTCGTCCGCTCCCCAAGATCCACTCCCTCTTTGTTGGCAAAGCCAACAAGGCTGACACTTTGGCGACTCTTGATTCGGGCTTACATTGCATTACCCCCAGCAATGTAAGCCCGAATCAAGAGTCGCCACGGCTAACACTTAGGCTAGTATTGTTACAATTTCAATGAATCAAATCATTATTTCTCTATTCTTTGAACAGGGCAGACTACTGCACCAGTATGCTGTAAGGTAACCTACTGTCCAGCCCAGTGGAACTTAAGCTAACCGCTGGCCAGGCAACCCCGTCTGTATGTACAACATGGCAGAAGAGATGGTTGCAGGACATTCAGGGGAAGAGGAGTCTTCAGCAGAGGATGACAACAGCATGTCGGAGGACCCCAGTACTGTAGAAGACAGTGTTTCAGAGGATAGCGGTGCTCCCACAGCAAACCAGGAGTGTTGGCAGTTTGATCCGAGATACGCCAAGTACTGGCAGCACTGGCACAGCATGATGGGCTGGTACCAGCGGCACAGGAGGGCTCCAGCACAGGTCTGGGCAGTCTGGCAGCACGTCATGCAGAACGGTGAGACTGCTGTTACTCAGGCCACATGGAACAGTCTTTGTGGGGTCGTGCGGCATAGTGGACGAGTGCTCGACTTGGAACCAAGAGGTCCCAGGTTCGAGTCCTGACATGCCACTGATCTTGGGCCCTTGGTAAAGGCACTTTACACGACTTTCCCCACTTAACTCAAGTCAAATAAGTTGATATTTTGAGTGTACCATCACCAGTTAAAAATGGAATGAAAAAGAAAGAAATCTTAGCCTCTACCAGGCTACCTGCCTCGGAAGCATGGTAGAGGCTAAGGCTAAGATTGCTGATAATACTCCTGGCAAAACTGGTATGTACATGCTGCCATGTCACGCTTGTTCCTTGAATAACATCCCGGTTTCACTTTGTTTCAGGATATGCTCCGATGGAACCATGTGGAACAAGGACCAATCATCACTGGAGGAGCAGACACTTCAGGGACAGAAGTCACTCCGGAGACAGAAGTCACTCCGGAGGCAGGAGTCACTCTGGAGACAGAAGTCACTCCGGAGGCAGGAGAAGTGCTTCAACTTCGAGAAATCCTCCCATAAACTCAAATGCAAACCAGCGTAGAAGACGGACTAAACGTAATAAGAAACACAGAAAGAGGCATAAGAGAAAGAATGTTCCAAAGCAGAGTGATACAGAGACAATGGACAGCACAGGAGAAACAGGGAGCGGCGACGTCCCCGAGATTTCTCCTGAGTTCCGTGAGTTCATGGCGGTGACGGCGAGACATCGGGAGGAGCGGAGGAGACAGAGGGAGGAGGCAGCGAGGGTGGCTGCTGCGGAGGAGGATGACTACATCCAGGCTGACAAGCTGGGTCTGCCGAGGTACGGCCGGACCACGACGGAGGCTCCAGCTCAACAGCCGGGTCAGTTATCAGGAAAGCTCGTCCGTGTTGGTAGTGACTTGTTTAGAGTTAAAACTTTAGATCCAGAGCCGATGCCAGTTTGGCCTCCTGAGCTTTTTCTTAGCAGAAGGTTACAAAAAATTTGGCTACCTCAGCATGCTTGAGGTTCCACATTTGACACCAAAGAGAAAATCTGCTATTGTGTGGTTTGCTTTCACATGCTGGTTAGATGTGACTTGTACTAAGTTGTCGTGCTGGTGGATGTTTCATCTATCTGAAAAAGATGTATATTATCAGGTGGTTTAACAATAACAATAGCAATTGTACATTCATGCCCTTTTGGGCTACCGGGTAAGTACAGGTATTCAAATACAAAAGTACAAAAATGTACAACATGCAGTAACAAAATACACGTACCTACATGTATGTAGACTTCTAAAACTTAATATATAATTAATGATATGAATCTTTATTGCATGTTCTTGCCCAGATGGGCAGAGGATATCCAGTATGTAAAACATGAGTATTTCATACTGGTACGCTATATTCTAAATATCAATATACATGTATATGGCTTCCTTTTGTGACTCTTTCTTGGTGATGTTGAATTTCTTGGTGATGTTGAATCAATGTGTCTTTTCCATCTCCCACCCCAGGTCAGCAGCGTAAAGCGGAGATGAAGCTGCTGTACGGCGCCCGGGCTGCCGTCATTCACGGCCTGGAGACGGCCATGCAGATGGAGTTCGACGCCAGCTGTGACCTCAGACAACCCAAACTGTGGCCAACCATCCCTCTCAAACTGTAGCCAACCCAAACTGTGGCCAACCATCCCTCTCAAACTGTAGCCAACCCAAACTGTGGCCAACCATCCCTCTCAAACTGTAGCAACCCAAACTGTGGCCTGAGCGATTGCTCTTATTAATTGTAGAGTCAAACTTTCCTTGGATTCTAATCTGCTACTGTCTGAAAACTTATAATGTGCCCGTTTTATACAGTCCTGCAACAATATAGGTCACTAAGAAGGAACAATGACAGTATTAATGTGGCCAGACTTTCTTGATGAAATCCCAGGAAAACATCAACAGTCAAAGACTTGGACAATACAAGAGGAGATATGTGACTTGATGGACTTGTATTGTCCCAGTTGATATGCCCAATTTTTTTTTAAAATTTGTGCTTGTCAATGTTGAATAATTTTCAGCTTTTGATATGTCAGTACATATAGTTCAAAATTGAAGATAACAGCCATGATTAGAAATTATATGTAGGATAGTGTTTTAATTTACTTTCTATGCTTATCTTGACTGTCTTTTTATTCACGCCACTGAATAAACAAACCATGTTTTACTTGTCAGATTGCTGTGCATCTCCATTTTGAGACATAAAATGTTAGCACATAAAAGCTCCCAAAGACACTGAAGACACCCAAGCCCCCCCCCCCGTTTTTGGCATGCTATGGAGGCTATTTTCTGATTGCATATAGACAACATAGCCGGCTTGATTGAATTACCCCCGTTAGAACTGGGCTAATCAGAAAACAGGCGAAGACAACCAAACCCCCAGTTCTATAACTTAGCCTGCTACGGAGGCTAATAAAATGTGTTGTTGGTCTGTACTAGGGCTGTATACCGGTTCTGTGTAACTGTACCGTATGGCGCACTACCGCAAAAATCAATTAGGTACAGGTCCAAACACCAAGTCATGAAGTACCGATATGCTCCTTCTAGATGTCACTTTGTTCTTAAAAGATCTGTTGAATACTAGTTATGGTATGACACAGATGAACAGTTAGGGTATTGTATGCAGGAAAAAAACAGTCCACAATAAAATGATTCTGTTTTGTTTGCAGATCTTTGAATATGGCATAAGGCCACCTAGTAGTTATGTCCTGTTTTATCTTAATAAGAATTCTTTTTACCCTCCATGAAAATGGGGGTATTGTTTTTACTCCGTTTCATGTTTGGTCTGATATCTGAAGATCGGTGAGAAGGAACTGTACGATATTTGGCAGATTGATGGATGGGGCCTTGGAGATTGTGTAGGTTGACTTTGAGCCCCTGGTGATTGACCTTGGTACTGCAGTTTAATTTTTTTATTCTATTGTTGGCGCGTTATGGACTGTTTGTGCGATATTAAGGTAGCATGTAGTTGTTATCATTATGGTTTAGTGGTTTAAATTTGGGTTTCCTAGCTGTTTGCGTTTGATATTTACAAAATGTTTAACGTTGGTCTTTTTGTGTTGAATGTTTGGAAAATCTGGTGGATGGTTTGGTATAATTTTTGGTATGTGGGTAGTTGTTGAGTCTCTTT